GCCACACGAATCCTTAAACTTTTACGTGAATGTGACAAAGTGGTATTGAGTTACATTATTTGTTGATAAGGATGCCTATTTTTCTTTTGAATAAAATACATGCATACAAGAGACATGACATTCCATCCTAGATTTATTGCTTGGGTGTTTATGGAAAGGAAATTATTATGAAGAACGCCATAAATTTAAGCTAGAGAAGAAAGGTTTATGAGAAATTGAGGATTAAATCAAGGCCAGGTACGTTTGTTCAAAAAAAAAAAAAAAAAAAAACCAAGCATAACTCATCTATTGGGATATGATGATTCAACCAAATTTCTTCTTATTCCTATATATATATATATATATGTTTGGAGCATTGGGCATTTTATGTTCCCTTATTTGGCTATTTTGTAAAAAATGTAAAACATGAAATAAGATAAAAAATAAAATAAAAAATAAATTATGAAAATTTTCTGTAGGCCAAATTACACCAAACTCCTTGGCTACTATAAAAAAATTGCAAAATATCTTCCTATACTTTTTATTTTGAACCAAAAAAAAAAAAAAAAAAATCCGGGCAGCCAAATGTTGAAATTCTGGTATTAAAGTGGTCAATGAAATGTGTGTGACCATGGACTAATTGCTTTGATCTTACGGTATTTTCATTTTATACTTTACAATTGATTTTACAAATGAGAAGTTAATAGTATTTGTTACTTTGCATAAGTATTTCAGCGTCCCGGGAGTACTTTACAACTTTTAGTAAATTGAGATTTTTTGTTGCATAAAAGAAAAGAAGGTATTTTTTATCTATTTGATAGTACAGGAGAGTTTCCTTCTTATTTTTATTTTTTCAATTTTTCTTTATTTCCTTTATTTATTATTATTATTTAAGTGTTATGCACAACTGATATTTTGTTTTTGAATTATATACTGATAAAATTTTAGTATTGCCTTTACTGAAATTAAAAAAAAAAAAAAAAAAAATCACTATTGTTCATCTTTTATACATAATTTTCTAAGTGTTTTTTTTTTTTGGTTAAATCCATAATTTTCTAAGTTATGTCCACCTTTCAACGTACATTTGTACAGTGGTTTTGCTGTCACCAGTTTGAATATTAATTGCAATTTACTATCATGATAACCTCTGTGTGGGTGGAGGGGTTGAGCTACTTTGGTCATAATATTCTACGTTTTTCGACAAACATATCATTGATCCGTTGAATTCTAAGCCTTCACCAAATAAATTATAGTGCTATATATATATATATATATATTAGAGCATGATGTTAAATCAGTGTCGTCTTGTTTTTCCTTTGAAGAACCTAAAGCTTCAAAGTTGATTCTCATTTGCTGTGTATGATTCTTTTATCTTTCTTCGGCAGAAAGGTCACCACTCATTACAGTTCTTTTAGACTGTTTATTTGGGTGTAAAATATTTTTTGTTTGTAAAATATTTACGACGAAAAAAAATATTAAAATTTAATAAAAATAATTTATCTACTAATTTTCGACAAGTTATTTTATATGTACTACTTAATGGACTCGACCTCAAACTCGACGTAGATCTTTATCAAATATCAAAAAAAATAAAAATAAAAGAATATTTTACTTGAAAAAAAAAAATATTTTCCAAAACAAATATTTTACACCGAAACAAACAGAGTCTAAATGATAAAAGAAAAAAAATCTTTTTTTTTTTTTTTTTTTTTTTGGCGCTAAGAAATGATAAAATAAAAATTTTAAAAAGGTTCTTCACATTTACAATTCACTTTTATTGATGCAACGGGCGGAGGCAGCCCGGGGGGCAGTTGCCCTCCCTGCCCATGCTGCCCTATTAGAATTTATTTTTATTTTTATTTATATATATATATATATATATATATATATATATATATATATATAAATTTGTAAAAATTGACACAATACCCCCCTAAAATTAATAAAATGACCCCTCTGCTCCTGAATCCACTAAATTTTATTTTATTTTATGCTTATAATTTGTAAATATTTTTAAAACACCCTCATAAAATTTTAAATTATCCCCATAAAATTATCTATTTCTAAAAATGTCTTTAGTTCTTTATTCCTTTTCCTTTTTATTCTTCAAATTTCTTTTTATTTCCTCTTCTTCTTAAAAAATTTCTTTTTCTTCTTAAAAATTTATTTTTTCTTGCACTCATGCATAATTTATGTGCAATAACCTTTTTTTTTTTTTTTTTCTTTTTTCTTTTTTCTCTTCTAATTCATTTTTTATTCACTTATTCTGATGCATAGTTGTTACACAATTATATTTTTTGTCTATTTGAAAAAAATTATTTTATCAGTGTTAATATGTCCCCTTGAACCAAATTTCTGGCTCCGCCCAAGAATACAAGTTGTGTTTCATGCTTGGAACCCAAAAAACCAAAAAAAAAAAAACAAAGACTCGTGCTTCATGCTCCATTTAGTTTTGGGTTACTAAAGAGTTCAGAGAAGAATACTGCTACATCTGATGATCGAATTTTTTTTTTTTTTTTTTTTTTTTTTTTTTTTTCAATGTCCAACAAGATATCTTAGTTAGTGATAAATAAGAACATGTTTCTCTTCTTTTAAAGTGTTCAAACCAGTAATAAATGCATAAGTCGACAACGATACCCGATTTTTTAATCATTTTTTCTGTTATGTTATAGAAGTGTGTTACTGAGAATAGATGGGCTATCACTCACAAGGCTTTTATTTTATAGTTTATACTTTATAGATCTTTAATGGGCTCAAGATTTTTTTTTGTAAGAGGGTCAAGCTCATATTATTTTTGTGAAAGAAACTCAATGTGGTTACGTGGAAGAGTCCAATAGAGAGCCCAGAGAGAAAAGTTTTGGGCACAAAAGAAGGAAAATGATTGAGCAATGAAGTAAAATTTGATTGGAATGGTCAAGACAAGGTCCACAAGCTCCCTTTTATTTGGAGCGTTGGGCACTTTATGTTCCCTTATTTGGCTATTTTGTAAAAAATGTTAAACATGAAATAAGATTATATATATATATATATATATATATATATTATGAGAATTTTCTTTAGGCCGAATTACACCAAACTCCTTGGCAACTATAAAAAAGTTGCAAAATATCTTCCCCTACTTTTTATTTTCACAAAAAAAACACCCCGGCAGGCAAGCATTGGAATTTTGGTGTTAAAAGTGGTTAATGCAATGCTGCGTGACCATGGACTAATTGATTTGATGAAAATAACCTTACGTTATTTTATTTTTGACCTTTTACAACTGATTTTATAAATGAGAAGTTGATTGTATTTGTAATTGTATTTTAATCAAAACAATCGATCTATGTGTCACGTGTTAACGTTAAATCTTCAGCGTCCAACTGCTAAACGCTAAAGGGAGGGTAATTTTTTCAAATTTTTTTTTTGTCCTTGTATTATCTCTTAAAAGCTTTAACATGCCTTGAAATGGGGTAGGAAACTTGTCTACGTCCAGGCAAGGAGGGACCTGTTTAATGTTTAGTGGGAGCAATTGGCCCCACGTATTAATTTTTTTTTTTAAGTCTTATGTACAACTGATATTTTGTTTTTGAATTATATACTATTGTCTTTACTGAAATTATAAAATTAAAAAAAAAAAAAAATTAACTATTGTCCATCTTCTATATTGTCTATCTTTCAACGTACATTTGTACAATCGTTTTGCTGTCACCAGTTTGAATATTAATTGCAATTTATTATCGTGATAAACTTTATGTGGGTGGGGTTTGACATACTTTTATCATAATATAGTATGTTCTTCAACAAACATATCATTTGTTTGGTCAGGGTTTCTCATTGTAAGGTCTTGAAATGCCTTGACTGAAATTTTTTATATTTGCATCTTTTAGCCTCAATTTTTGATAATTGGAAAAATTCCCTCACTGAACTCCTACAAAATTCACAAAAGACCTCAAGAAAACTTTCCAAAATTCAAAAACATTTGTCCTTTTCCCAACAAGATTTAAAAAATTTAGAAATGATCCATATTTTTTCTCCTCCTACTGAGTGTCGCAAAATATTTAAAAATTTCTTACCATATTATTGCAATATTGACTGTCCTTGGACTTGTAACTCTTTTACACACATATATATATCTTTTCATCAAGGATGAAGTGAGAAAAATATTCCTAATATTTACATTTTTGGTAAATAACACATCTATCATTAATGCTATGTATGTAAGTCCGTTAAAAGAAAAGAAAGATAGACAATTTAGTCATTTCACATTTAATTAGTTTTTTACCAATAGAAGAACATTTTAGTCTTTTTAGCATTCAGGTCTTTATTTATTCCAAAATTAAATGTTATGGACTTTTTAAAACATAAGAAGTTATACACTCTATATATATACTATAAGAATATTTTTAGTATATATATATATATATATATATATATTCAATTGTGGGTGTACGGGCTAACTTGCGTGCACCTCGACTAATCTTACGAGGCCCTGAAGTGAAGTTAACGACCGAATAAGCCTCCAATGGTCCTGAAAAAATTCAAACTGATAATCATTGAAGAGCAAACCCAAAACTTAACTAGCTGAACTACCTTGCAAGGTTTTTTTGATATATTGGCAAGGCTAGAAATTCACACACGAGGTATACATTCATATAAATAAGCATGCAGACTAGCAAACAACCACCGTATGAAATATATGTTGCAGATGACATTCATATAATATAGTTGGAAATGCTAAACAGCCCAAACCAAATGAAGACCGTACATATAGAAACAGTCAACATCACAATTTAATGAAATGTTGACCTTTGTTTTACTTTTTCAACAAAGTTCAGGGTCCTGATTCCACAAACACGTACTAGCTGTGCCCATCCAAGTAGTACTAAAAGCAAACATCGACCAGTAGACAACACATTAATGAGCTAAAAACAACATCAGAACATAAGCAAACCCTAACCCTAGAACAATTAATTAACATCAACCAACACTACTGGACCATGCACGTAGAGTTCGAAGTCACAGACGTCCACTCCCTTCTATCACGGTGAGTCACCCCCAACAGTAGGGACCGTGGGCTGGGTCGGGACACAGAGACCGGGGATCGAGCAAAAGCTTCCCGGTGGGCTGAAGCTCGGGAAGGATCCGCTGAGCCCAGGGCTCGGAAAGGACCCACTGAGCCCTGGGCTCGGAAATCCGCTGAGCCCAGGGCTTGGGAATGATGATCCACTGAGCCCAGGGCTTGGAAAGCCACCAAAGAAGGTCTGAGGCTGGTCAACCTTCTCCTTATTCTCGATGGTCCTCCCTCCTTCAGCTGAGAAGACTACAAGAAAGAGTGTGAAGATCAGCAAAACCTTAGTAACTCTCTCCATCTTAACCTCTCTCTCTCTACTCTCTAGAACTCTGGTTTTTGTTACAGTAGAGAGAGGAGTCTGCATGCAATACAATTTATAGTACAAGCGTTTCCAATTTGGGAGGGTCCCATCAACTTAATTAGTAGAGAAATGTTGGTGTATGCGTCATATAGTAAATGAGTTGAATATTAGAGTGTTGGTTGTGGTTTTACCGCTAGAGTGAGCCCTTAGGGTACACAACATATTCATGACTCGTGGTACGTCCGCGTTAATTCGGTCCGTAAGGTCTTTGGATGTTTTCTTTTTTAAAATAATAATAATAATAAGGCCTCTTATATAATATTAATGTAGGACTATATATATAGCTTCTTTTTCTTTTCATTTTAATTTTCTTTTACTGGAAACATATATATATATATAGTCCTTGGAGCAGTGAATGACCAAATATATTGAAAATAAAAATTTTAAGAACAATATTTTAAATTAGCAATTTGTATCATTGTTTAGGCCAAGATTGTCTTTTCGTCAAAGGTTCATTTGTCAAAGCAGCATTTGTTACATGTGTTGGTGGTTCTATGAAGGGATTTAAGAAGGTTTTTATTGTGTTGGTTCTGAATTTATGATTTGCCCAACCTAACAAGAGAAAATGAGAGGCTCAAAGCCTTTAAAACCCTAGTGTGAATAATAGTGTGTGTCATGTGTGGTCTTTAAAACATTTCCTTTAACTTTGTTCTTTTTTATTTGCACACACAAACCTACCCTCTTAAAACTTTCTATGTTTGGGATTTGACAGTAACAAGAGTTGTTGAACAAGTTAAATGCCAATATCAATGCTGGCTTTGAAATGGACACAATTTTTTCAGGCCTTACATGTGTGTTCTTGGTTTCCTTGTTTTTTGTTTTTTTTGGTAGATACGGCCATTTAAATAAAGATCCATGTTAGAAAACAGGTTTCGATGTCTGAATTTTATGTGTATTGCATTAAGGTGGTTTTTCTTTTAAAAACTGAAGTGAGAGTGTGTCTATAATTTATATGAGGAAAAATTAAGGAGAAGATGATGGAATAACTATCATTAAAAATAAATACGAAAGATAAACTAAAGAATAATATAGAAGAGGAAATTATTAATATATATATTAATTTATTACGTACAATTTTTGCTTTTAAGTCTCAACTTGTATCGAGTCACTCCAACATTATGTGACTGCACATTTGAAATATACAGATTGGATTTCAAAATAGAAAGCCAAGAGTGCAATCTCACTTTCAAAAAAAATAATTAATTAAATAAAATAAAATAATTAAATGAACCAACTCCTAAAGTGCTCGTAGAAAAAGTAACACACATGTGAGGAATTAATTTGATTCCAACAATATGGCAACTAAAGCACTTAGTAAATTAGATGAAACAGGTTAATAAACCTGGACATACAAGCAAAGTTTGTACACTCTGTTTACTTCCTAATAAAGGCAGATTCTTTATTCTGGTAGATAAAAAATTTCAACTTCTGTTACACTACCCACACTGTCTACCAGACAAGTACAGCATTTTTAACCTTTTTACCATCATTTCACCAACCCATATCAACCTTTACCTAATCTATAATAGAACTGTAGGGTGAGGACTTAGAAATTTTCACTTGAGGGCCTAGCTCATTTATGCTATCCCAGGGAGAAAATCTTCCATCACCGGTTATACCACGCAATCGCAATCGGTGTCATCATCTAATTATATCCTGTCACATAGGTAAAATAAAATAAAATTGCACATGGATAAGTAAGCTAAGAGAGAGATCAAGTTAAAAACACATTTTCTTCCAAATCACATCAACTGGGCTTACCAACAATGTTTAAGAAATTACATCATTCTCAGATAGACCACAAAGGATCTGCAGTGTCATCAATAATCAAAAGCATTGACAAAGTCAATGAGTGTATGTTGCGACTGTGACATCTTTATTGCAGAAATTTGTATAAAATTCGAGAAAATTAACATTACAAAATGAAAAAAGAAAAACTTGGGAAAATGTAAAAAACATTCCTGTTCAGTTTGTGCCATCACAGATGCCTCGCATTACTTGAAAGCGGGAAAAGAAAGGGTGAGATTATGCTGCAGACATGATGCAATCAATGGCCTGCTTACAAATTCCGGTCATTGTAGCCTCAGGTCCATAAACCTGCAACCAGAAGGGAAAATTACATAATACATTAAGTTCCATATAGGAAACTAAAAAAGGCTTTTTCGAGTAGGAACACGCAGAAGAGAAAGCCTCAGTTAGAGAAACCATACAAGTATAAGAAAACAGAACTACAGAATAATGACGGTAAGAAATTCAATATGGTATCAGTACAACGTAAATCACATAAACCAGGTAGAGACACCAAAAATGCCCATGATTCTTCAAATTATTATCTCAGATATTACTTTTTATTCAACATTGCACTTATGAAATACATAGTAACTACAAAGTTCGAGTGCTAGACTGATGAGAACCTATTACCCTTTTTTCCCGGTAAATGAGGCCCTTTGTGTTAATATCAAAGCCAAAGCCACTATACCTCCAAATTAATAATGAATTTTTTTTGCCTTTGCACGGAGTTTAGTCTATAGAATATACCTCATCGTTCTATTCTTCTTAATTTATTTTGGATGCAAACACTTCCATATAATACAAAAGGTCCCAATTTTTTCTGAACTGCAGGTGGCAATTTATTAGTTGCTTTCCACATATAACAAGTGGTACAGCTACTTATAGTTTATCATAAGGTAAAGACAATCAAAAGCCTAAAACCAACTAAACGTGACAACGTATCCAGAAAGTAGAATGCTATCTCATACCTCAAGGGGAACTCCCAGTTCCTCTCCCAAGGCACGCATCTTTGCCAAACCGGTCTGATAGTTGGGACCACCTCTTCGAACATAGATGTGCATTCTTGATGCTTTTAACTTAGATTCCTGTCCAAGAAGTAATGCAACTTTTAAGGTAAATTAAAAAAACAAATTATTGAATGGCAATTCATATAATTTAACTTGAACACACCTTCTCCCTGAGAGCACGAATAATCCCATTGAAAGTAGCAGCAACATCAGTGAAGTTAGCAATACCTCCCCCAATGAGAAGGGCTCTCTTACGACCATCAGGATCCGCAGTTGCACACTGCAACCAAAAAACAAATGGTTATTGTTAGAACAATAAAATTGATGTACCAAAGCTTCTAACTTTGCACAGGAAGAACATGAAGCTTAATTTCTTACATCAATGACAACTCTGGCATATTGCAACACCTCCTCCTCATTTGGAGCACCACTATACTCTGCATAATTACCAAGCTCTGTTGCATAACCTAAATCTCCAACCTAGTTGAACAGAAAGGAAAAATCATAAAAAATTATCATCAATGTGTGAATTTTTCCAACAATAATATTTAAGTGTGTCTCATTTGACATATGATGAGTGGAGGATTGGGGGTTACAATATTTGAAGTACTCACAGTATCAGCATATATTACACTTGCACCACCTCCAGCTACCATTGTCCAGATGCGTCCTTTAGGGTTCAAGACGGTAAATTTCAAAGATGCACTAGTCTGCAATGTAAGCACAATAATATGATTAATACATTTGGTTTTGTCCGATGCAGAAGCAAACTTCAATTTCCAGACCGAACTGTGTCTATGTTGAAAAAACCAAATGATAGCAATTTATCTAAGAAAATACAACCACCACCAACAAGCCTTTTTCCCCACTACTTGGGGTCGGATACATGAATCCTATGTTTTCATTCCACTCTATTTAAGGCCATATCCTCATTCAAAAAGTACATGCTATCATATAATCCCTTACTAAATTTGCCGCCTTCCTCTACCCCCAATAGTACCCTCAATGTGGACTATATCACTCTTCCTAGCTAACGCACTTAAAGGTCATCTTTGCACATGTCCAAATCATATTAACTGATTTTCTCTATTTATCTTGAATTTGTGCAACTCCAACCATCTCTCGAATGTGATCATTTCTAATTCTATCCTTCCTAATCTTACCGCATATTCATCTCAACATTCGCACTTCCGCCACTCACCTTATGCATATGTTGTTTCCTAGCTGCCCACATTCTATGCCATAAAGTATGGCTGGTCTAATAGTTGTTCGATAGAACTTTCCTTTCAATCTAAAGGGGATATGCTTATCACACAATATAGTAGATGCAATCCTCCATTTAACACATCCTATCTTGACTCTATGATTAATGTCATCACAGGATGGGTTAAACGGATGAATACATCTAGTATATTATGTGATAGGCGTATCTTCTTAGGATTGAAAGAAAATGGAGCAAAACAAAATGCATCTACTAACCCTGGGTGGTTGAGGGGTGGGGGAAGAACAAGTTGTATCTACAGTTAATAAGCTTATTTCTTAATTACGTGGATGTGAATTTGGGCTCAATGGATTTACATAAAAGGCTAAAGGGACACTATTTAAAATTGGAAAACGTATAGCCTCTTGGCTCTTGCACAACCATTAACAATATTTGAAGGCTCTTACCTGAACATTAAGAGGTATACTTCCAAGAATATCATCACCAAGCCAATTTAAGGAACTTAAGGATTTGTAATCAAATAGTCTTGCCCTTAGTTCATCACTCAAAGACTTATTAACTAGAAGGGGAACGCAAGAACAGTTTATGGCGTTAAATCTTCACAATCAAAATCAACCGGTGCACATATCATTAAAATCATTTGAGTGAATAACAACAGAAGCACTCGTGCTTACAAAGAATAATAAAAATAATCATTAATCACAGAAAATTTCTATGACAAAATACATGCATGATATTTTTTTAAAATTTTTTATGAACTTACTTTTTCGTCCAACGTATGTACGAAACTTTCTGTTGGGCTCAGGACTCTGCCGAAAGGCAAAGGAAACTCTATCTTACCCCACCTGAAAGAATAAAAAAAGTTATAATAACATAGCAAAATCTACAGGGTATTTTTAAGATGAACAGTTCAGAATTTAATTTACTATGTATTAAACAACAAGCACATACTTCTTAAAGTTCTTAAAAGCAGCAGTGTCATCCAATTCCCCTCTCATATCCAATGGGAATGGCTCCCCATTGACAAGGGTAAAGGGATTCATCTCAAGGAAACTGAAATCCAGATCTGTGAACAAAATAATGAAAGAAATAGAAAGTAAACAGCGTCATTTTCAGAGGATGACCACCTCTTAAACAAGCATCAACAATCATACGCTGAGGAGGGGGAGGGGGGGACTATATTTAACATCTTTTCCTCCATCAAATTGCAAAAATTCCAATTAGTTTCTACCCACGAAAAATCATGAGAAGATCCTTACATCATTTGCATATTTAGAGAACTTCACTGGATGGCGAAGGAGAACTAATCCTTTGAGTGTAATTTTTTATATTTCACAAATGAGGCAGGAAACAAGCATTTTCCATCCTTGAGTACTGCCTACCTTGAAATACAGCAAAGACGCCCATTATGAAATCGCCAATTTTCCCTCGAACCTGAATCCAAGAAAGGTACAAACATCACATTATATCCAAATTATGGAGAAAAGAGAAAAAGAATGAAGAATTTCAACTAATAAAATGTTGGAAGATGTGGAAAAGAAATAAGAACAAGTAATAAGCAGATGAGAAGACATTAGATGTCTCCATTATGTAGAGAACATGAAACACCTATAAATTCCTATAAGTTACCAACTCCATGAAAACTCAAATTCCATATTTTGAATCATGGCAACTAATGTCAAGGTGCATGAATTATACATCCATGGAAAAAAACAACTATTGCCTTGTTTGTGTGAAGAAAGCTTTCAGTATCACCAATCTAGATGAGTCATTCCAAGTTAAAATGATGACAAAGAACTTGAAAATTAGAAAGAACATATTAAAACTTACCTCCAATGGAAGTGTAGCGATCAATGGAGCACATGCATCCAGTGTCATATGTTTTTCCGTTGGAAGGATTACAGTTTTGACCTGTACCAGTAAAAAATTGAATAATGCCAACTTTAATGCAAGGACTAATAAATAATTGACACAAACTATGATTGATGGAAAAATGCATTCAAACAGAACAATAGGGTCAGACTAAGAGAAGCAGGCATAAATGCAATGACACGAGTATTGTATCAACTTACCTTGTCCCAGTTTTCTTCAATTTCAATACCCCCACATTCTGAAAAGCTAACAGTGCAGCCAAGCCTATCAGAGACAATGGAAAGGTAATATTCTTGGTCATGAGGAACAAATGGTTCGACAATGAATGTGGTAATTGGTGCCTTGCAGCCACCCATCTCTACCTGCACAGAATCCAGGTCAGGCATGAGTAGAATGAAATCGCATGCAAAGTAAGAGTTTTCTGGTAAACTTAATTAGCCCATCACCTCCACGCCAAGACGTGCTTTCACGAATTCAGCAACTTGAGCTAGATCTAAATTCAGAGCGACCAAGCCACTCTTTCCACGCTTCCCAAACAACATATCAGGTTTCACAACCAACCTTGTGGATGAAAGCCATGGTTCTTTGTTTGTTAACTCGGTGAAGTCTGTGGACTCATTCACCTAAGGAATAATTTTTTTCAGAATGACAACCGTAAGTAGTATAAAAATGGGATGTACTCAAAATATTTTCAAATGACAGGGCAATTTCAACTGTCAGTTTGCAGTAAAAGTAAACATAACTACAACAAAATGGAAGTGCCAATAAAAAAATCCTGAGGACAATTTACATTCATTTATCAAGAACATCACATTTAAGACCACAAAATCAGTATAAAAAATAATAGCAAAGTATATATGATTTTCTTTTCTTTTTAACCAATGGATTTATTGATGAGAACATAGAATTTAAACATCTGAATTTTTATAAAAGTGGAAGTGTTTTATGTTTTCTAAGTCCAATTATACCATATAAAGACTTCAAATTTTTATATAGCTTCTTTTCATAACCTCTCTCAGAACCATGTAAATAATTTTTTTTGAAATATTTCAAATGATAAAATATATTATTAAAAAATTAAAAAAAAAAAAAAAATGCAATTGCAATAAGAGAAGGCCTGAATGCACCATTTGATATTTTGATTTGAAGTTATGAGAGCAATTTTTTTTTTCTGCAACAATGAGATTCTTTTTCTTTCTTTTTTCTTTTGGCTATTTTCACTTTTATTACCTTACAAGTGCGCACAAACAAAACTATGTTTTAATTTCTTATTTCCAAAGTTCAACATTTTACCTGAATTCCAAAGAAAAACTTTTTGGAGGAATGCCATTAGCTGTCCATGGTAGCAATAATGGTAATAGCATCAATGGTAACTGCTTTTTGCTTCTAAAAGAACAATCTTTGTACTCTGATTTAAGGCAATTTCGCCAAAAAGATCATTTATTGAAATCAATTTACCAAAGGAAACCCCTGTTTTCTATATCTACTTTATTGTCATATTTTCGCTTCCAGCCTTCCAGGAGCAAAAATGAGTACTTTTCACTAGCAAATGAACCAAAAAGAAAAAAACTGAAGTAGTACAGAGATACTGATCTCAACTCACTTGGAACAATCTATAGTGTCCAAGACCAGAACAGAAACACATAATTGTCTTACAAAGATCAATCTTCACAAAAACTCAAACCAGTAATTGACACTCTAACAAAAAGCCTGAAAAGTCCACTACTTCCATTCATATATCATAAGAAAGTGGAGTGCCCCGAGCTTTTCTTGGAGTCTCAATAACAAATCTCTAGTAAAAATCATTTCAATTCAGCAGAAAATTAAAATAATAATAATAATAAAAAATCCACAACAGATATCAAACAAACTCAAATCAGATTGATGTATTCAAGTCGAGCACATGTAGAGACTTCAATTACAAACGATCATCAATAATTCTAAATATATATATATTAAAAAAGTAATAAACGAATGATAAACAGATTGATAGATAGTACAATATAGAGAGACAGAGTTTGAGAGATACCTGAGCAGAGCAGATCTGAAGGTCGATTTTGGCGAGTCGTTTCAAGTGCTCCTTAAGAAGCCTCTTGGAATCGTACTCTCTGATCTTCTTTCTAGCCATTTTTATAAAGTTCCACTAAAACCACAATGAAATTCTTCTTCTACTAGTTCTGCACAAAGAGCGAATGATATGTGACAACAATAAATACACTACTCTGATTGAATCTATATATATATATATATATAATCTAGAAGAGGTTTGCTTCGAAGAGACGAATTTACTTACCAAACACGAGAGATGGTGCAGGAGAGAGAGAGAGAGCTGATAAATATGACGATGAGTTCTGATGTGGAGTTGGTGGGCGACTTTAGCAAAGAGAAGAAACGTTGGTGCGTGTGCGTGTGCGTGTGCGTGCGCGTGCGCGTGTCTTAACTAACTCATTTGGTTAAGTGAGAGGGAAAACATGGTAAAATGATGGCGTTTGGTTAGGACTTAGGAGATGAGAGAGTAGAGCATGGTTGCAACTTAAAATGAATAATAACATTATTATATATATATATATATATATATATATTTTTTTTTTTTTTTTCCTTTTTTCGACCCTATCCTATCCTATCCTAACTCGGCAAGTCAAGTAAGAGGAAATTAATTAATTCGCATTTAACTAAATATAACTTCTTTATCCTAAAAACAGAAAAAGGAATTTGAGCGCTGATGTGAAAAAAAAAAAAAAAAAAGAAAAAGAAAAATTGCAGATGTCCAGGAACAAGCTAGAAATGCAAAGTTGGGAATCGAATTTGAACGATGTAACAAAAATTTTAAAAAAATTATAAATCAATTATAATATATATATATTAAATACTAGTCATAGTATATATATCTTTGAAAAAATTTTAAAATGAGAAAAATACAACTTAGACAAAAAATAATAATAATAAATAAATAAAAATTAATGTTAGAAAGAAAAATATGGAGAACAAAAGTAAAGAAATAAGTATAGTTATAAAATCAATTTTCTTTTATCAATTGTTTCAGTTTTTCAAAAAATTAATTTTTGGAAGAAGAAAATTAATTGCTTTGATTCTACTTCAGAAAGATACATCTAGATCAGATTAGAAAAACATAATGAATTTTAAGTCAAAAAAAAACTATTTAAAATTCAACAAGATTATTATTGAGTTATTAAACAAGATACAAATAGTTATAACATTTGTTATTCACAAAGTGACAACTAAAAGTATTAGCATATATGATATTATTAAAAGTGACAACACTTTAATTTATCTTCTTTCCAAATATTTCTAGAACTTACCAATAAAATTGTTATATAATTTTAGATAATTTTCTTGTAAATACTATTTTACAAAAATGTTTGACAAAAAATGCATCATGCATTTTTACCAAACACTAGAAACATTAGTTATTTTATTCCTTTTTTTTTTCTCTTGAATTAATATTATTAGATATTGTACAATTATAATAATGAATTACCAAAAAGAATAAGGTCTTCAACACTTTAGTTCATGTTGCATTGGAAGGTTCAAAAATTGAGTTGTATCATAACTTTTGCTAATGATCTGGGATTATAGTTTGCTGTCAATTCTTGTGGGAATAAGGTCTTCAAGGTTATTTTCGCAGCAACACTCTATTATTTATGGAATGAAAGGAATGGCAGATTTCCCACGAATATTGTTCGATCCTCTTCTATTTTATTGAAATGTATTGTTTGGGATGTCTTAGATGTTGCAAGGGTTAACCTTCAAGATTTGCTAGGATAGTTAGGAGGTTTTGGAATGTTGTGGGCTTATCTACGCTTCTCTTTACTCCTAAGGGTGTGTTTCAGTGAAATTTTTATCTCACTTTCTTTTTGTACTTTATTGTTTATTTATAAAATTTTCTTCATTTAGGAAAAAAAAATTTACCAAAAAGAAATGACTATAATAATAATGAGCTTAAATTTTTGTTTCATAATATTTAGTTAAAAGAGTGCAAGTTGAAAAAAAATTAAATTTCAAAGAGACACAAATTAAATTTATTTTCAAAATCTTTATTTTGGGTCAATATATGTGTTTTGAAAAACTTGGGGGGGGGGGGAATTAATTAATATTTAGGGGCTATTAATAGAATTTTGAAAAAAACTTGGTTGGTTAATATATGTGTCAAAAATATTGGGGGGCCAATTAAAAATTTTAATAGATTGAGGGACAAAATTTACAAATTAATTAATATTTAGGAGATAGTAAAAAAAAATTCAAAAAAAAAATTGGGAGGCCATTGCCGCTGCCGGCTCCCCAGCTCCTCCCCTATGGATGCGTGTGTTTATAGTCATGAAAAAAAGGAGGAAAATATAAGAAAGTAATAGAATTGGTTAAAAAATAAATTAAGAGCAATGGACAATTAGTCCAAAGGTAAGGGAAAAGGGGGAAAAAGAAAAGAAAAAAAAAAAAAAAAACATAAATAAATAACTGTTCTTTAATGTGAGTGGAGAGGAGAAATCAGAAATTCATTTATTATGAAAAAGGATAAAATGGATCATAAATCTCTTATCCCTTCTTTTGAAACTCCCCTAGTCCTTGAGATGCGTGCATAACTGCATACAGATATATGTATATGTGTATGTGTCTGTATAATATGTGTAAATGTGAGGGATATCGATATTGCTTATTTGAGTGACTAAAGGGGCCCTTTTTTTTCTTTTTCTTTTTTCTTTTTTTCATCGTCGTTAATTTTAAACGAAAACTAATTATTTTTTACTCTTCCTTGGTATTGCTTTTCATTTTCTTCCAATTCCTCCAATGCTATTTGATGTGATCCTGGTTACCTCATTATACTTTTGGCCCTTTGTTAATTTACTTCAAAGAATCATAAAACTTTTTGTTGTGTTGCCAAGTGGTTACGTTTCAGACCAAAAAAAAAAAAAAAAAAATGAAAAATTAACAAATTAACCAAAGTAGAGAGACTATTTATTTACTACAATAGGGTCTTGAAAGCAAAAGGTCAAGAAATTTTAAAAACTTTATGACATGTTTGGTTATTTTTAAAAAAAAAAATAGATCTCAAAATTTGCAAAACAAAAAAATTATTTTTTATTTTTAAATAATTATAAAAGACAGTTCTTTGTGCCTCTTTTAATATGAGTTTTTACAAAATAGTTTTCAAACAATTCCTAATGAATAAGCCATATTTAAAATAAATGAATATAATCGAGTCCATTCATTAACATATTCACTAGTCTAATGAGTCAACTCATAATTGTATTGAGAGAGTAGAATTAAAATCATTTATAGTTTTATTAATTACAAGAAAATTGAAAGTGTGAGTTTCACATTTACATTTCCTTACCGCAAAAATAAAAATAAAAAATAAAATTGCAATATGAATGTCCTTGCTAAGTGCTTCATAGTATAATACTAGTAATTGTTTAATTAGTAAGAAAATTTTCCCCCACTTTTAAGGGAGGTTTTAGTAATTTTAATGCCACAGTGGCTTTCAGAGTAATTTATCTCAACAACTTGTCTCTTTTCAAAAAGATTTCTCTATAAAAGGCTTAAAAGCACACTTGAACTCGCAGCTCACAAGCTCTCCCCATTTGCTTTGATCTCTTTCTACTTCTGTTTTTAAATGTTTTTTCTTCCTAATCCTTCATTTTTCATCTGAACAATCTCAATTCGATATATATATATATATATATATATATGTACACACACATACATACACTACCCACACCCACAGAGACACATATAAATCTCGAACGCTCGCGGATACCAAATTCGCCTCTTGAAGGAACTCCTGTTTGCTTAGGATGAGAAAATAAAAGAAACTTCAGAACATAGAACTAGTGGGTGTTCTGGATTAAAAAAAAAAGACTAGTGGGTGTTTAGGATGTTAGCTGTAATTTATTTCATTTAGAATTCCAATTCCCTTTCCTTCACATTTTTTGTAACCAAACAGAAAATATAATTTGATAACATTTTTCAAAAGCAACATGACAAGTTCGCCGGCAACTCAATACTTGCAGTAAAGCATGTGATACTAAACTATATGCTGATAGAAAATGAAAATGAAAATATTTGCAGTAAGGTAGTAGTAGTAAAGTGATGCAACAAGAAAAGATTGGAATTAAAATTCCCAGCATGAAATAATCAGAGCAATTGCTCCATATCACACAAAACAGAAGCTCGTATCTTGATCCAGTGCTAACTATGAAGCCAAACACTAGTTAAAATCTCGTCTTTCAAAGAAAAACAATAAATAATTGCATACAGAAATGATTCGGATGGTAAAACAAAACTAACATTATTAGGGCTAGGGATATATATTGAACATATAAATGGTGTAGACGGCAAAACACATTAACATCAAGGCTAGGGCTAAGCTTGACATTTTGTAATTTTTATTTCAGAGGCCACCATACCACCACTTTGTGCAGAAAACCAACATGTGCATCCCAGAACAGAACAGAAATACCACCATACTGATGATATATACAAGTTATTCAATAACATTATTGATAAAATCATCTGAAACAGAATCTAAAGAACAATGGATTATAAACAAAAAGAGCTAAAAGTGAGAGATACTACACTTTCCTCAAATTAGAACACAAAAAGAGATCCATGTAGTCTTCTGCAAAATAAGACGGCCATAACAAAACTGAATTAAAATGATCCGCGCAATTTGAAGTTGAACATTCATAGCCAAAAATGCAAAGAAGACATTTACTTCAAACAATAAACTGGATATTCCCCCGTTTGATCTATTTCACAATAATATCCAATCAATTTTTGTGCATGCATAATTTGCAAAATTTACATGCACAAGGAAAAGAAATATCTCATTAAGCTTGGCCCATAACCAAGGAAAGCTAGAATGATTTAAGAAATAAACTCAATTGATAAATGTTTGTTTTAATCATCGTACTCGTCATCGTCAAGCTCTACTTCAGTATCATCAGATCCACTTACGAGCGACAAGAAGACTAAAACCGCTACCAGCTGTGTTAATAAGAAGTATTTGGCTCTTCTTCTGAAGGTTTTCTCTTCCTCCGTCTTTTCCCTCTTAGGTTTGCTCTTGGGTTTTGAACCTGAATGGATTATAAACTACTAGGTCAATTCTATAACCATGCACGAAGAAGGGGGAAGAACAGAAAACTTTAAGTAGATAGTTGGGATTAGACTCTACAAACAGAAATTAATCCAAAAGAGAGAGAATCACAGAATGTGCAAGTAAAAAGTTAAACACCACAAACTGCAAGGAACGGTTATAATGAAACTTTCTCAACTGTAAGGAATGGTTTTTGTGTATTAGGGACGCGTTCCCCTTTTGAACGCTTTTCTAATATATTTTTTACTTATCAAAAAAAAAAGAAACCTCAACATTAAATCACATCAACTCTAATGTCAACCATAAATGCTCAATTACAAATGCAATTATAATCTGCTCATTGATTTAGTAAAACCTCTTTGATGTTAATAAAACTCAAATAAGAATGTTGGTTGAGTAGCCATGCATGGCTGTCTAGAAGCAGAACCCTCCTCCAAAGCAAGCAAGTCTGCGCACACATGAGGTGGATGGCCTCAGGTTGTCGACATCTCAACCTAAGTGAAACACAGTTTAAATTCGGGTTATAGTTTTTCAATAGAAGCCCAACCCAAGTCATAAAAATGTTGTCCTAGATCATGAAAATTTGGATTGGGTTTGGGCTAAAGCTCAGATTACCCACCCAAGTTGCATCCCTACGCACTAGCCAACTGTTGACAAGATCTACCAAAAAAAATTATGAACCCACCTTTTTCATTAAAAACAGAGAACTACAAACATGAGCTTAAAAAAAGCTCCAGAATACCAAAGCCATGATATGGGGATAAAGCTCAAATTAACCAACAATGTTTCAAGGAATACCTCATGCCTTGGCCGTTATGACTTATGATTCAGGGCGTTGTTTTCTTAATAGAATTTTTATTGGGCAACTGAAACCATACCGTACTAGTCTATGGTGTCTATCAACCCATGAAAATAGAAACAACTAAAAGAATAAACTAGCAGAAGAAAAAATCCATGCATGGAAAACTGAAAGTAACTTACTCCAATTTGAGGGACCTCGTTTTGGTGCATATGATGATGGATCTGAGCGGACATGTGGAATAGAAGAAGAGGAACCAGCTTCTAAGAATGACATCTGAAGTTTTTCAGCATACTGCACAAGATTATTACGCTCCAAGAGCTTGCTCCGCAGAACTGATGTTTCCTATTGGCACATTATCAAAGATTGCGGCAACCATTCTTAATATACCACAGGTAAAAGAAGTTCAGACTATTTCAATAATTTGATGGAAATCAGAAAGTTTGAACCGGACCATCTTTTACAAATATGTAACAAAAATGTTTCATCCGTTCAAATAAGTTTGTTACAAAACCTAATACATATAATACTAAAAAGACCAGAATATAGAGGATTGCATGCATTCTTCAATGACACACATCATGGTCAAGTACATTTTAGTCAAAATCACATTTTTTTCTTCTTTTCTCTAATCAAAAACCATCCTCTTCGGTAAATCACACAATTCTACATTTTTTAATTTAAAAAAAAAAAACAAGAATGTCAACAACTCTGACGCTCAATGTCGCATGTTATGGTCAAGTACACTTTGAAGTTATATGTAGATTTTACGCAGATATAATGCTAGGATATGATGTTATTTTGAAAGACAAGTAAATTAATTTCCAACGGAGTATATATGGTACACACAGACACAATTCTTAGTTGTCATCAAGGCTTTGTGTTTGAACAACACCCCAAATGGCTCCAAGCCAGCTTCTTATTTATCTATTCACTACTTCAAGTAACAGTGTGCCTCTATCATTGGCTCAAGTGTCAGCAGATCTTGAGATCCCATTAGAAGAATTTTAATTCTACTATTTTAGCAGCAGAAATCCTCCATTAACAGCTTTAATATGATTAACCGAAACTTGGGACTGTCAGTGTTTGAAAATGGATACCCAAGAGACTGATGATTTTGCTGACAACTTAATGTTTCTAGTAAAGTGGATCCGTGTAAATAAAAGCTGAAAATATTTGATGTACATCCCATATTTGACCCTACCCAGTTTTAAACAAATCTTCAATAATCAAAACTAGACATCCAACATGTGATGATAGAAGACGGAGGAATAGGAGAAGAGGAAGGGTGTACCAAATTGCTCATATATGAACTGTTAAAAGCTAGGGTCCGTCAACTGCCAAAGTGCAACATTTCACCAAAGCTCATCTATCACCAAAACAAAATGCCTACAATCTTCAATTAGATGGTTTAACCAAAACTTTCCTTAACCAAAGCTCATGTGGAAGCCGATACTTACTTAACCAAAACTTTTCCAAACTACTCGAGGTTGGCGACATGAATCTTGTTTCATCAATCAGCTATATCTTGGGCCATAACGTCAGACAAACCACGCGTTATCATATCTTCCATAAATATATCAATCCATGTTAGTTTTAGTCCCTTTTTCTATCATACCCTCAATGTAGACCGCATGTTCTTCCTTGGGTCTGCAGTTATTGGTCTTTGATGCCCATGGCAAAACCATCTTAATCGGGATTTTTCTAATCTTATTACCAACTGGCACTACTACTTCAAACATCTCATGAATGCATACATTTCAAAATTTGACCTTTCTTGTCTTACAACACACCCATCTCAACATTCATATTTCAGTCAAACTCATTTATGAATATATTGTTTCTTCATCGTTCAACATTATGTCCCATAAAGTATGCCTGGTCTTAATAATTGTTTCGAGGAATTTACCTTTCAATTTTAGGGGATGAAGAAGCCTGAATCTAAATTAAAATTTTCACAGCAATTTATAGTAGTTTGAAAACTTGAAATCATTTAACAGTCATACAGATCAACAGCAGATGGTATAAAACTAGAGTTGATTTGTAGACTCCTACTGACGTCTAAATTTTATAATTGTGGAACCCGTTAACAGCCTTAGGGACTAAAATATCATACAATCTCATGCTTGGGATCAACATTTCTATTTCTAATTTAAAAAAAAAAAAAAAAAAAAAAAAAAAAAAACAATGTACTTTCTAAGGCAACAGAAATTGGTTCTTTTTAGCATGAATGCATCTTCAATGAACCACAATCGAATACAAGAAAGATAAGAACTGCGGTACAGTTCATAAAGCACTCACGGGTAATGCTTGAAGTGTAAAAAGCACATGCCCAAGGAAAACTGCATCCAAACTTGTTGGCCTGTATTAAAGAACAACGAAAGGTGGGAACATCAATAGTGCATCAATATCATTTATCAGCTAATGACAACATTTTTATTTATTTATTTATTTTTATAAGTGAGCTCGTGACAACCATTTAAGACCATAAAAGTTGTGTGAACCATTTGACTTGTGGTTAAAAGAAATTTATAATGCCATTTCTTCAGGAGTCACCTGTCTTCAAAGAAAAAGGACCGTTCCCCTAATCTAGTTGACAAGGCTCCATAAGCAATAGTTGCTCTCCTGTAAATCTGCCCAATAAAAAGCAGTGATAATTTTATATTTAAGGCATTTGTGTATTGTGCAAGTAATAAAACGATAAAGAAAGAAGAAATAATCAATTCCCTTAGTGGGTACCCACCAAACAGCAGCAGAAACCCCCTAGAAAACGTACTTTTATAAGAGAGAGGGGAATAGAGAAGAGTGATGGAAATAGTACCTCTTCTTCTCTTCGTTCAGCATTTTCTTTTGTTATCCCAAGTTGTTGCTTTGCAACACGAGTTTGCTTGAAATATAGAAATTTTCCAATTGGCCATGGAAGATCTGAATAATAAATCTTATGTGCAGAACTGCCATCAGAACCCACCCAGAGTTCGTACATTATTGCATCTGCAAGCCATGAATTGATCATTGCCTTCATTGATAACCATTCTGGAATAGCATGGACTTCAGAATCCAAATCAACAATACCATCTTCTCTTAAGCTCTCAATAACTCCACCCTTCTCATTGTTATAGGCCACATAAACACCAGACTCAACATATGGAATTTGATCTAGCAAAATTAAATCAACCAACATGTTATGGTAACTGTGATCAATGTGCATATTTATTGATTATAATAAAATTATGGACCACTAATCATTTGCTCATGTTGAAATTAATTAGCAATTAATTTACAGAAATGCATGCTACAACAACTACACATTTCAATTAAAACAATAAATGAGTAATTCACGGTGATAAAATCATCTTTCCAAGTGAGAAATATTAAATTCGAGTTTAGCCACTCCTTTATTATGCTACAAAACATGGTCGAACAAGAATAATGTCCTCCTTCTACGAAGTGTATGAACTCAAAAAATCTTTAAACCACTATATAAAGTTTTTTGCCTTTTTGCGTTATCAATAGCCAATGTATAAATATAAGCCGGATCCAAAGAATAAATTATAGACAAGATAAAGGAGTGATTAAAATCTGAACATGCTTCTTCTGGTTATAGTGAGTATACAGCTCAACTCAATAAAGCCACACAACTCAACTCAATGAATCTTTGTGCAATTATCTAGGGTTTGCTACATCAATCATGTTTTGTCAACCATCCCATTCAAAGGCACAATTTGAGATAAGTAGCTAACCATGAGAGTCAAATCTCCCCTAACAGTTTTGGTCTTCCTCTCACCCTACCAATTGAACCATGCCACTCCTCCTCATCACTAATGCAGTTATTGGTCCTTATTTCGCATGACTAGATCATTTTAACTAGTTTTCTAACTTTTCTCTTTATTGCCAATTAGTGCTACTTCCAACTTCTCGTCAATGAGTTCACTTCAAAGTTTTTCTTTGCAATCTTGCTAGTATCCACATCAAACCCCACGTTTACAAACTCCTTGTGTATTAAATTCAAAGTATTTGGTTCCACAAAGTATGGTTGGTTTCATAATGGTGTTGTAAAATACTTTTCTTTCAGACTCCCAAATGCATGTGGATTGCAAATCACTCCAGAATTACACCACTCCTACGCCTATATGAATAACTAAGCCTAGATAACAGAAATGTTCATTTGTTAGTATCTATTTTCCATTGATCTTTTTTTTTTTTTTGATAAGTATTTTCCATTGATCTTAACTGCTTCTGCATTACTTTTCTTCTTGTCAGTTTATTTTTCTACTTCTGGTTGCTAGTTTCGTTCCATAAATGAAATATTTCCCCTTATCTAGCTATCTTAAACCCTCTCAAATTCCAAAATTTTACCCCTAACTTATATATCATTATCCCCAACTTAGTTTAAACTATGTGATTCACTGGCTTACTCAAAAAAAAACCAGCTACAGAAGAGAAACACTCATATACCAGAAGTCGTAGCAAAGTAACACTCCATAGATTACCAGTTCAGTAATTTTAAACAGACATCCCACTAAGGAGGAAGCACTAAACTTGGTAACAATCCAATGATCGTCAAATGCCCTCTTAAGATTGAACTGTTGAAGGCTTCTTAAACTCTTCCCTTCTCTCTTTTTTTGCTACATTATACAAAGCCTTACTTCTGAAAGAACACTCTGTAAGATTATAACATGTTTGAAGAATTTATATGTGCCAAGGAAAGGGGAAATTTTGTCAAATTACACTGTCACCCCTTCAAAAGATTGGTCCAATGATACAAGCACATCCAAGACGAGTGTAAATCATGACAACCAGTCCACTTGACACGATAAGGCCAGGCAGAACCACTGGGACACAAATTAGCACATAAGAGCAGCTGTTTCGTACGAATAAAGCCATAGGTTTGGTTTGTACAAGTTTATTCATATTACTACCCCTAATGGCTGAACCCCAAATGGTTGATGGCATTTTTAGTTGTAAGTTTATGTTTGTCATACTTTATTTAGTATTGACTTTAGTTTATGTATAGTTGTTATGTTCCTAGTCTATTCATATTCCATTAGAAAATCGCGGTTTCTAGCAAGCCAATCATTTAAAATAGCCCTCCAGATAAGTGCCATTTTTTTATTAAATAAAAAATAAAAAAATGGCAACGATGAATGATCTACGAAGCACAGAACACTTCTAAGAAGGATGCACATTAGTGTCAAACATCAACACTTCTCAAATACTCCTAGACACCTTCCTGCCACAACCCCAGACGTGTTAAAAAATATCATTATTTTTTATATAATTGCGAAAATGTAACCAACAAAGCTTCCATCTATCCATCACATCTAGGTTATCCATGCTTACATAATCAAAACAAGATAAACAACCGTCCCTCATTATAAGTGCATTCTAACTTGCTATTATCCAAGAATTTTGTTGAAAACGAATTTTGTTTTCAAGGTAATGCAAATATGACAAAATGGACTTGCTTGATTTGTAACTCAGAAAACAGTTCTCAATAAAAGAGAACATAAAACAGTTTTCAGAGAACAATAAAAGACCGTTCCGCCTTTTTATATCTGATTGAGTTAACCAAGCTAAAAAAAAATACAATGTCACAAAAAACAAAAAAAACCCATCAAGACACGTGATGAATTAACATCAAACAGAACACCATTCGAGAACTAGATAGCACCAAACAGGGAAGGAATAGAAACATGAACACAAGAAGAAATTACACAATTACATATCTTGAGATACATACATACACACATATGTATAGAGAGAGTACCTGAATCAGGGTGAATTAGATTGTAATCCAAGTTAAAGGGAACTTTCGCAAATCTTAGATAAATGTAAACGGGCAAGCATGACGGGCACGCAGTTGGCAAACCAAAACAGGGTTTTCTAGTCACAAGAGTCAGTTCTCTGTTGTTAACTTCATCCATGTGTATGTATATGTGTATAAATGACCGCACTGAGCTCTCTCCTCCTTTCTCTGATTCGCTAAACTCTATTCAGAATAATGAAAAAAAAGGAGTTCAATTGGAGAAGAAAGAGATGTTAAACCCTAGTGTTTTGATGCAATCACTTGTAGGGTTTCTTGACCGAGGAGTGACTGTGGGAGTAAAACCCTTATTTTGGGAATTGTTGGATGCCGCGTAACGAATTGAGGGTTAAAAAAATAATAATAATAAAAAATGTCAGGTTTCGAATTAATTTAATTAGGCTCCAAGAAATGTGTCACGCTAACATTTTGTACACATAATGCCTCCCTAATTTATAAATTACTTGGGTTAAAAAATAAACAAATTTTTAACATATAAAATAAACACGCTTTTGCTTTAAAATCCTTTACTATTTCAACCCAATCGCAGTTTTCTTTTCTTTTCTTTTAAAAAAAAAATTCCCAGAACAGTACTTCAATTTCTTTTGTTTGGTGGCAAAAGTAAAATAAAGAAAAAATAAAAGTAGCATAAAACATCATTAATCTAATTTTATCCAACCTTTTTTTTTCTTTAAAGTTAATTTATTCACCATATAAGGTAGTTGTAGGATTTTGTTATTACTATTATTATTTATTTAAATTTTTTTTATGATAATATCAGATCTCTGAGAACATTCAATAAATTATCACCGAGCACGTGTAATCCTCCCCCATCCCACATTCACAGGGTTCATAGTGCGGAAAATATAAGATATAAAATAAGAAGATGAAATAGAGAAAGATTAAAAACACAGTATCTAGATGGTTCGGTCTATATGCACGGATCAAAAGCTATTAAGCTACATTTCTCTTATTAATTTCTTGATATGTTTACATTGTATTGATACACAATATATGAGAAATAAAGTTACAGACAAAAGGAATAAATCAAAGAAGAAATAAGGGAAACAAAAGGAATAAATCAAGAGGAAATCAAAGATTAAAGAAAGAAAAACCGAATATAATATATATATATATATATATATATATATATATTATAATTGAGTAAATCAAGGAGAAAAAAAAACAGAAAACAAATATAATGCATATGTATAATAACACTCTTTCTCATGAACTTACCATCATTATTATTATTATTATAGTCAAATAGTTTTACATGTTTAATTTCGTCAATTTGAAAATTACTGTTCTCATTTCAAAAAAATGGTGGTTGAAAATTGTTTTTAGGGTGCAAACAATCCCCCGATCTTTGCATTCTCTGCATTGTTAATTACCTGATCTTTGCATTGTTAATTAGATTAGATGTTGGCCACTATTGTGATATGGAGGCATTTGAATTAGATAGGAAGGCCACAAAACATATTTTGTAGGATATTCATGCCTAGCTTAGATAGTTGGAATTAGGGCTTGGCATGTGTAGAGAATTAATTTATATCTAAAGTGTTTCAGAGTTGTATAAGGTGAATTCTAAAATGTTGTAGGATTTTATAGTGTGAGGGAGATTCTAGAGAACTAGAAAACAGCAGAGACTTGAGTAAGGCATCTAGCAATCGATTATGGAACAAATACCTATAAATAGGATAGCAGCCTAGCCAATTAAGTTCCAAAGTGGGTGTAGAGCAAAACGTCTTTTATGTGATTTATTGTTGAGTTCTGATTAGTGTTTATAGGCACATCACGGAAGTATATGATGTATGTAGGTGGTATGTAGTTGATTTATTTCTTCAAAACAATTTAGTTTTTTTTATATTTTGGAATATAAAATTTTTTGACTTCTTTTTCTTATTTTTTTTCATTTCAAACTTATAAGGTTTTGTAGACTTTTAAAGAAATGGTCCATTTTAATTTTTGTTTTTATTTTTTAAAATTGTTGAGACTTTGATATATATTTGTCCTTTTTTTTTTTTGCTTGCATTTAATCTTATAATCTCTCTCATGATAAGAGCTCTCCTTTTAAAACTCTTGCATTGAAATACATATTAAATAATTTATTTACCAATCTCAAAAATATTATTTCAATCAAATGGTTAAGTAGGAATGACTCTTCTCATGAGAGGTCCTCCTAACAACATTATTCTTACATGTTTTAAGAATTTAATTTATCAACTTTGTATTGTCGGACAACACGTTTCGAGAGTTTATGAATTGATTAAATATATTTATTGTTACTATTCTTTATGGGATAATTTATATGTTTGTGATTTTTGTGTTGAGCATTTGGTAATGCTTTGTCAGTTACCAATTGTTTGATAGGGAATTGCAGCAGTTCTAAGAAAGGATCAATGGGAAGAAATTAAGATACTGATATGAGAGAGCTTACACGAACTCGTGATTTTTTTTTTTTTTTTTTTTCTTGATTAATTGTTAGTGCAAATTTATGTAACCCAATGTATTTCTCTAATAGGGAAAAATTCTCTCTAATAAGAACACATTTTTTTTTCACAAAATTGAATTCAGAATCTTGAAAAAGGATTGCATTTAGTACATTATGTTGGTATAAGTGTCTGCTGTATCTAGTTGGACCATCTGAATAGATAAATATGGTGGAGGTAGCCATTTGGCACCATTAGGTGGACCAATGTTTGTCTATTTACCTACTTTGACTACTATTAATCATTTGTGTGACTCCACATAATTCAGACATGACAGCAAAGCATGCCAATTTCATTAGGAATCTTGATTAACCCAGTTGGAAATTACCTAAATGCCTCCAATTTTACCTGAATTGATATTATGTATCTCTACTTGAATAATATAGCTATGGATCTTGGATATGCTTTTTTTATATCCCCATTCATTCAATTTTCAATTATGATTATTGTGATTGTTTTTGTTTATAGTGAGTGAAACCAAGGTCTAACCGTACAAACCAAGTCTAACCCGATTGAGTTTGACTCATTCTTCCTAAATGCAACTTAAGTTTAGAACAATAAGTTAATCTTGAATTAGATTTATCTCATCGGTTTAATAGTTGAGTTTAGTTTAGATTTGAGTTTATTCTCTTATGCTTCAAATTAAACTCGAATTGATCTCGCATGCAATTCAAATCCTTAAAATTACAGCCCCAGACCTTACGCGCTTTTTCGAGAACTTACGCTATGTTTGATAAAAGAGAAGAATTGAGGAGGAATGGATGAAACTTATCGTGTTTGGTTGGAGGGAAGGGAATGGAGAAAGGAAGCAATATTGGATAAAGTATTACATGTTTCTTCAAGTTTTTCTATTCCTCCAATTTTGGGAATGGGAGGTGAGAGAAAATGAATTACCACTTCCAATATACAATTTATAATTTTAACCTTTTCAAAAAAGTTTAAATGAATATCTACCTTTTTTTATTTTATACAATGAAAGTATATTGGTAAAAAATAAATTAAAATTATTTTCCCATTCCGACCAAAAAAAAAAAGGTATCACTTCATCTCTATTCAACCAAATAAAAAAACAGGGGAAAAACTTTTCCTTAGAGATTCTTCATTCACCCCTTATCTCTTCTGTCCATTTTTTCATCCATCTAACCAAACAAAACATTAGATTTCAGGAGATATTAGTCATGTATTTTTCATTCCACCAGCTAATTTATGCCCTACTTCAATCCAAGCGTTCCATCTTGGATCGAAGAATGTTTTTTCAACTCTAAAAACAATGATGATTATTATTATTGTTATTTTTCTTCCTATGTTTGTTAAATATTTGGTCCAAGTAACATGATTGTTCAACCACCGTATAGATTAGTATGATATTTTCGTGTGAACTCAAATGCTCTCATGGTCCACTCCAAACAGAAAGACGGAGATAAAATATAATTGTGCGAGAAATTATTATATAATTAAGATCAGACATTTTGTGAATCAAAGACTCTTTGATTAAAAAAATGACTCAAGCAGAATATATTAATGTATTACAAAAAAATATCAATAAGGAACTGAATTTAGTTGGTCTGCTACGGATAATATGAACTTGAACCATCTAATAATTTATGAGTAGGAGGGATCCAAATTAGATATGGACCCACAAAGGCCGAATGGCTAAATTGTGGAACGTGTCAAGCAATGAATGGTTGACATGGCTTTCCATCTTTCTGTGCCGTTTGGGTGCAAACATTAGGAGGCCAAAATTCAAGTATATGGTCCACCAATGAGTTTTTGAGGAGTGATAAATCAACAGTTGTTGTGATGTTATGATGGTGATTTGAGATAAGGTTGGGGCACAGTCTTTCAGTGGCAGAAAGTCGTCTGTGGCGGTCGAATATTCGCTTATTTCATATTCACACCACTATCAATTATTTGGGCTCCTCCATTTGACCCACCTGAGCGCCCATTCAAAAGGGTATTAATGTCTTCTCACAAAAACCTTTTTTTTAGATGAAGGTAGTTTATTGTTTAAGAAATCATTTTTTTATAAAAAAAAATTTAATATATATATATATATATATATAATACTAAGTAAATAATTAATATAGCATTCGTATATAATATATTGTAAAGTAATATATATATATATAGTTTTAATTTGATCCAATCATTTATAATGCATATCTGATTTGTTAAGTTAATGAATTATGAATTCAGATCATTATTGAAATATTATTATTATTTTTAATTCATACTTGACTAATCAAAACGAATTCGTATTAAAATTTGATCCCTATAAGTTATTACACAAGATTCCAATTTTTTAATACACAAGAAGAAGTAATTTAGACATACCTAGATTTTACACTTACATTAACACAATTACCCTAAATCAATCAATCCTAGCCGACCACGGTGACCCAACCAACAGTTGTACCGAATTAAATGATGGTACCACTTGGTTGATTATTTCAACTTTGATACCATTAATATATATACCATCTCCACACTCAAAAGACTATTTATTGTGAATTTTCTTATAATCTCACTTGGGAAGTTTGAGACCTCCTTTAATGACTGAAATTATATTAATACACGTGACGAAAAAATTATTTGTTGCAATTTTATTTTTAAATCACATTTATATGTCTAGACACTATTTTCAACCTCTTTAAAATTTTTCTTTTACATGGCAAATCTATGCCACTATCTCTAATTTGGAAAGTCAATACTTCATTTAACATATGTTTCCCTTTCAGCTATAAAAGTAAGTCAAAAATTAAATTTAGGAGAGGCATAGTGTATTATTATTATTATTATTATTTTTTTTATAATCACGACAATAAATACAGATTTTATAAATTAAGAGATAAAGAAGAAAAATTATTCAAAATAATATGTCAATCAATGAGTAATTTAAAGATAAATAGTTAACAAAATTTAAAAAGGAAAGAAAAATGAGAGAATTTTGAAAAGAAAAAAATTAGAGTTTAATTCAAAAAGGAAAAATTGACTTTTTTTTAAAGGAAATTAAACGAATTTAAAGAGTAAAAAAGGAAAAAAATACAAAATTTAAGAAATAATTTTAGAAAATAAAAATTTTAGGAGGCATTATATGAATTTTTTCATACATATATGTAAAAATATATAAACTTAATATATGTATTATAACATTCATAAAATGAGAACTCTGATCACATTTATGATTGTCAAAAAAATAAAAATAAATAAATCACATTTATGTGCTTTGGTAGAATTATGTTCAATAAATTTGACATAAGAATGAAACAAAGTGCAAATTATTTATTGCAAGTTGAAATGTGATTAAATAGCTTTAACATTTTAAAATTTTCAAATTAAGATAAACATACAAGTATTTTTAATAAATATTGTTTTGACAAAATCAATTGACCACAAATAAAAAACATAGTCCATTTGACACTGTCAATTTAAATTATTGTTATTATTTTTTACCACGGGAGACAATACCATAATAATGCATTTCAATTTTAATTAATGCATTTCAATTTTAATTAAATAGGAGACAAGTTATACAGTATTATTTTGCAAGAAAACAAAAAACATAAATATATTATTTTTCTTCTTTTTTCCAATTATCAATACAGTATTATATATTTTTCTTGGACTTACAAAACCCCACAAATCAAAAAGTTCTGTAAAATATATTTTCTCAAGTGCCCTTGTGTGGAAAGGGAGTGCTCACATAAATGACCCACATGAAAAATAAGGGGTGCCCAATCTCAAGCTGGCGCCAAAATCATTACCCTTCACCTCCTCCTCCTTCTTTAAAAAGTGAAAATTAAAGTAGAGGTTTGAACGGTCAAAAAAGATAACAACAACTGCTTCGTCCGAGACCACAATATATACATATATAATGTATCGTTATATATACATAAACAAAAAATACTTTTATATAGGGTTCAAGTTTGACCACACAGAGAAAAGCAACACAAAAACAAAAGAGAAGGTGAATATATAGATATATACAATATATATAAACAGTCTATAATCTCATAGAGGCTTATACGTTTCTCTCTCTCTCTCTATATCACTCTCTCTCTTTCTCCCCGTATCCATCTCTCTTTCTATTTATAGGTTTTTCCTCTTCCAAGGTCACGATCTTATCCACAGCACCAGTTATCGCAAGGAAAGATTTGAGGCCCGTTTATTCTTCTTGATCTACTGAGGATCCGATTCGATCGGGGTATGGTTCTCTTTCTTTGGTTTTCTCCTTCGTGGATGGGCTTTTAGGGATTTGGATCTATGATCGGAAGTGTTAGATTGGGGATATTGTTTACTTGTTTTGTTGATTTGGGTCTGTATATGCTTTTTATGTTGACTTTTGATGCTTTTCTGGATGATTAATTTTTCTTTCTGATTTTCGATTGAGGGTTATACTAAAGATCTTCAGTTTTGGTTCTAGATTATTTTCAATTTTGTTTCTATATTTGTTTGTGTGTGTATTTATGTACATAGCACTCTTGTTATTATATAGATGGTATATATATTAATTTTTGTTTATTTTCGTTTTCTGTGTGTGGTGGTGGTGTTCGAGTAAATTTTACTTGATGCAATAATTATCAATCTCTCTTCAGAGCCTGCACTCACAAAGAAATGGACACTTGGAGAAGTTATAATTTTTTTTTTTTTTTTTGGGACTGTTAGATTTTACTTGTTAAGGACAACAGAAAGTCTTAAGATATATTGGGTACCAAAAGATGTATTTTCTTTGATTTTTTTAAGGAATTTTGGTTCATCAATTGTATTTATTGTGGTATCTTAGATTTTACTTGTTAAGGGCAACAAAAAGTATACGAAAAGTTGTGTACCAAAAGATTTATTTTCTTTGACGTTTTAAGGAATTTTGATTCATCAATGGTATCTTCTGTCAGATTCCAAATTTATCTGGCATATACAATGGCAGAGCTACTTATAAATTAAAAAAAAAAAAAAAAATTGTAAGGGCAGAGCTTCCAAAATAAAAATGGTTTCATCAGTGTTCTTTGTGTTGCTGTGAAAGTTTGAAAATGTTTTTTAATTATCATATCTAATTCTCATTAATGTCGGTGGCATTGAATTGAAACTTGAGGCATTACCTGATGGTGGACTTTAGCTATCTGTGGTGTTCTTTGTGAACCTGGATGTGTAATTTTTGAAGTGCATAGCTGGTAATGATTGATCTGTTTGACAAATGGGGAAAATGTCTATTGATTGAGAGGATAGGTCTAGGATCCAGGAGACAATATTTTTTATATTATTGTATGGGGGCATTGCACAAGATTTTCAAACTGTATTTGGTGGCTTAACGAATTTCATGTATTGACCACTTTTTTTTGTTATAATATTGCTACTATCAATAATAATGACGCCTCACTGGCTATTACATGTCTAATAACTTTTATAGTTGACACTAGTAATTTTTTTGAGTTTTAATTCAACTGAAATTCACATATCAGGTATTTTTAAATGTTTTATTTGACAAGATTTTCAAACTGTATTTGGTGGCTTAACGAATTTCATGTATTGACCACTTTTTTTTGTTATAATATTGCTACTATCAATAATAATGGTGCCTCACTGGCTATTACATGTTGTCTAATAACTTTTATAGTTGACACTAGTAATTTTTTTGAGTTTTAATTCAACTGAAATTCACATATCAGTTATTTTTAAATGTTTTATTAGATAAGATTTTCTCCCACTGCAGATTTAGTCTCTCTTAATTCATTTATTAGGAAGAACTAACGGTGTAACGATAACGTCTTCTTTCATGCTGTTACCATTATGAGGTCTATTGGCCTTAATCTATTATTTATTGAGACCTTGATACATCGACAGGCACATATATGCGGCCTGGATTGTTTTCATTTGAACTTCAGATATTGGTTTACTTTTTATGTTTTGTTAGACAAGTTTCAGTTTATTCATTGAGACTTTTATATTTCAACAGGCTCAACACATAAATGGCCTGGATGGCTGGTCATTTGAACTTTAGTTATTAGCTTTCTTTTATGTTTTGCTAGAAAAGTTTCAGTTTATATATTTATAAATTCCCTGTGGATGCTTCAATTTTTATAAAGACCAAAGAAAGAAAAATTGTATTCATATTGTAAAATTTAGTTTCTGAGCTGAGTTTGTTTTGACCTCATATCAATTTCAGCAGGTAAATGATTTTGTAACAAGTAAAAACGTGATCGGTGGATTTGTATAGCAATGGCTTCGGTGGGTGTAGCACCTACTTTTGGTGTAAGACAATCCAGTGTCCATACAGTTGGTGTTGATCGGTTGCCTGAGGAAATGAATGACATGAAAATTAGGGATGATAAGGTACTTTTGACATTAGTTAAGCAATTCTCTCTGAGTGCTTGCTCTCACATTCTTTTGTATTTGTTGCTGATTATTTGCCATTGATTGATTTAGTCTATTCTGTATTTTGTAGGACATGGAAGCCACAGTTGTCGATGGTAATGGGACCGAGACAGGTCATATAATAGTGACAACTATAGGTGGTCGAAATGGCCAGCCGAAGCAGGTACGTGGAGCTGCTATTCACTTTTTTCATGAGTAACTTTTTGTACAAGCAAATTTAGTTGATTCTTTTGAATCTTAATTGGAGTGCAATATGGGGGTGGTCCATCTTAAGCACATCTTATTTTGGGGTGTGCTTAATTATTTTAAATTTCTTTCTATATCAAATATTCTCGCTTGTATGATGTTTATATTTATTTATTCTCCTTGATTTCATAATTTGACTTGGTTTCCTCTAAAATAAGTTTCTCTGATAATGATTTTAGACTATTAGCTACATGGCTGAGCGTGTTGTAGGACAAGGGTCATTTGGAGTAGTATTTCAGGTAAGAGTTTATGTTAACATATTCTCTCTCATCAACAACAATTCAATATGTTGTTATATTCTGATTTTATTTTTTATTTTTTAGGCGAAGTGCTTAGAGACAGGTGAAACTGTGGCTATAAAGAAGGTTCTCCAAGACAAGAGATACAAGAATAGAGAGTTACAAACCATGCGTCTCCTTGACCACCCAAATGTTGTTGCTTTAAAGCACTGTTTCTTTTCTACAACTGAAAAAGATGAACTCTTTCTTAATCTGGTACTTGAGTATGTTCCTGAGACTGTTCATCGTGTAATTAAACACTACAATAAGCTGAACCAGAGGATGCCACTGATATATGTGAAGCTGTATACATATCAGGTATATTGCTATTTCTTTGAAATTTGAGGTTGCTGTAGTATTATTTATTTATATTTTCTCTACTTCAGAACGTTTGAGATTCTGGCAAGTTCTATAGCTGCAATATTTACTCATTTTTCTGTTCTCATTGATATTTCTTTGAAATTTGAGGTTACAGAACACGCTTCCCCCAAACACCATCTCATTTTTCTGAATAAAATCAAACCTCCGTTTTATGGTCTGATGTGTACCTTTCCTTTTGAATTTTCATTTGAGAAAACATTTTTTCGTAGTTTAATTAGGTTAAACCGCCTTTCAAAATTGTATCATCCCTGTTTAACAAATAAGAAGAAAATAACTGAATGATGGTAATAATACCAACTTCAAAATTAATTACTACTGGTGGGTTATCTTAAAGTTTATTAATCAAAGAGAACTTGTCTAATGTTGACTCTTCTTGCTCATTCTCTCCCCCTCTTTCTATCTTGTTTGCTTGTTCTCTCTCTCTCTTTGGGGTTGAGGGTGGGTGGACTGCTTTAGTTTTCTTTTCATGTTATTTTTCCCTCTATTTTCTTTCTCCTCTCAAATTGCCCTCCCTTTTTTGTATAATAAACAGTAGTTGCGTTTTTAATTTTCTTGGTTAATCTTACTCTTTTTCCCTCATAAAAGGGATAGGTGTCTTGTAGATAGTATAATATGCTGTTGATATGTGGCAGATCTTCAGGGCGTTGTCGTACATTCATCGTGGTATTGGAGTGTGTCACCGGGACATAAAGCCTCAAAACCTTTTGGTATGTTTACATGTTTATTTATTTATTTGTGTGTAATATGATCAAGTGCTGTGACTGGACTTCTCGGGATGCAGTCACCCGAAATTATGTAATGGTAGCAGGCTTGATTGTGAACCATGTAATCATTCACTTCCAGTTGACCATTTCTCATTAGTATTCCTGAATTTGCATGGGTTCTTGGCTCTATTTTAAGGCTGACAACGGTGCCTTTGTTGTGTATTGTGTGGGGCACTCTTATCACTTCTAAGCTTTCGATTTAATTACTTTCTATTTAGTGGGTTTTTACTTTAGATATCAAGAAACAGAGATACACCATTTATCTCAATTTGTTACAACTTGGATTAGTGTTGATTTTTCGGTACCTTCAATTAGTGTTGACTGTGACATTAATGAATGTTTTAATCATTACCATGGAATGCTTCCTTTTAACATTAGGTTTGATTTTGGTCAAGTGACATATTTTTTTGAAGTCTTAAATCACATTCATTTTCAGTTTTTATATACTTGTTTTTGAAGTAATCCTCCTGTTAATTTTTCTTAGGAAGAGAATTACTAACTAATGGAACTTCGCTCTTAAAACTCTGTAAAAAGCATTTATACGTGCTGCGTTGCTTTGAAATATATCTTATAATTAGCATCTTATGAGAGCCTCTCTTTCCCGCGGTGCATTGTAAATACTCCAATGATCACCAAGCATTGCCCCCCAATTGCGGTTCCATGTTAATAGTTTTAATGTTACAACCGGTATTACCTGAAATGTAGATTTTTTGTACAACAAATACTCCATAAAGTGACATGATTAAGTATAAACTTAAGTAAATGACATAAATTCTGAGCTTCGCCTTGGAACATTGGCTATTGTCTTGTTAATGTTGATGCTCTTATATGTTTTTTTTTTTTCTCCAGTGAGCTTCTTTTATATACATTTTCTCCCATCAGCAACTTTTTGAGACTAAGATCTCTATTCTTTTGTGCAGGTGAATCCACATACCCACCAGCTCAAACTATGTGACTTTGGAAGTGCTAAAGTTTTGGTATGTTGTTGTTTATGTTCCCATATATTTTTCTCTTTATGTTTCCATATTTCTTTCCTTTTAGGTAGTAATAATAATAATATTGTTGTTGCTGTTGTTGTTTTTGCCTTCGTCTCATCCATTTGTTGGAATGCTTGATTCCTATTTTTTACAGGTTAAAGGGGAGCCAAATATTTCTTACATATGCTCAAGGTATTATAGAGCGCCTGAACTTATATTTGGGGCGACTGAGTATACTACAGCTATTGACGTCTGGTCTGTTGGTTGTGTTCTTGCTGAGCTACTTCTTGGACAGGTACCTGTTGACAAGGTTGTCTGTACTCATGGATATCTGGACTTTATGATATATTTTGAATATAATTTTTATTCTTTTGTTTTAAGCCTTTGTTTCCCGGTGAAAGTGGAGTCGACCAGCTTGTTGAGATTATTAAGGTAAAAAGCTTTAATTCTCTCTCTCTCTCTCTCTATATATATATATATATACATCAATACTTGGTGCATTGTGTTTTTGAATGATGGAAAAAATCCTCTGTAAATTTTGGGGGCTTGGGGCACATATATTGTTGCTGGGAATTGCCAACTGTTAAATAGTCTATATATTTTAAAAAAAACCAGGGTCAACTATAGATGAATGAATCAACAAATGATTCAGGGTACATTTCTTGGTATTAAATCTTGTGAATAGCCTGAAAGAAGTTTATTAATATTGTTATTACACAAATGGGTTGTATTGATGCAGATTTTGCTCTCTTTTTGGTGGATTGACAAATGATAAATTCTTTCAATTTTGTCGTCATTCTTGACCCAAGGATTGCTTCTTTTAGTTCAAATTCTGTGAGGTGCATGTTCCATTTTGTTTCACACTCTATGATTTTTGCAGGTTTTGGGTACTCCAACAAGGGAGGAAATTAAATGCATGAACCCAAACTACACAGAGTTCAAATTCCCACAAATTAAAGCTCATCCCTGGCACAAGGTATTAGGAAACTTATTTTATTCTTTTTTCTGTGTGTGGTTGCATGTCACCTTTCAATGTAATGAGATATATTTATATATTCATTTCCTCTTTGTTATCAGATATTCCATAAACGCATGCCTCCAGAAGCTGTTGATCTAGTTTCGAGACTGCTGCAATACTCTCCTAACCTACGGTGCACAGCTGTAAGCATAATTATTTCTTTCTTTTGGGGATGGTCATTACTAAGAAACAGTAATGGTTTGTGTTATCTGGTCATTATAAGATAGATTGTAGGAAATTAATTAAGAATGGAGATAGATGATGTCATTTGTCTCATATAGAACATTTTATCATTCCTGGATTCCCTATCTTGGTGGGTGTAGTCAAAGATAAATTGCTACTTGTCTAAAGAGCGGAAGTTTTTAATACCCTCTATAGTAGATGATGATGTGGGATTGATAATCTCCTGAATTAGTCATGCAACTGAACATGTCATTGGTCGTATATAGGGCAATCTATTCCCAGATTGCATTGGTTGGTTTAGTCAAGCATGAACTGATTACATAAGGTGGAAATCGAGGGTAATATTCTCTGTAATAGACAAATGATATGAAATTTGGGTCTCGTGAATTTTCCACCAAAAACCGAGCTCAAGTGGGCGTGCTTTCCGAGAGAATTTGGTAGCTGTATGTACCTACATTAACTACTAGTTATTTTGTTAGTTTTCTTTTCGTGATTTGAAATTGGATTCACTGCTTATTCGGTGGTTTAAAACTCTACAAATTACCCCTTGGAGTTGGCTGTAAATGTTCTTGGTATTGCACCATTGCACCAGCTTGATTACCCAGTTGTGACAATGTGGTGTTCGCATTTCTTGATTACTGTTTTTCCCCCTGATTAGTAGATTTGACAGAATGATAAAAGTTAGAAGAACACGACTATTTCTGGATTTGACTTATTAGTCCTCCCCTATAATTTTCCCTCGATGCTTCTTTCTGATTTTTAAGATTAGTAATATCATGTGCTAACTTTCAATGCAGTTGGATGCCTTGACCCACCCCTTTTTTGATGAACTACGTGATCCAAACGCGCGCCTTCCAAATGGACGTTTTCTTCCCCCACTATTCAACTTTAAACCTCATGGTATGAACTAGAACTTGGAACAATTCTTCTCACATTAAGTTTGTTGTCTCAAAATTTTCTAATTCCTTTTGTTTATGCTGCCTGCACGTCATTGTCAAATCAGAGTTGAAGGGAGTGCCAGTGGAGACGTTGGTGAAGTTGATACCCGAGCATGCTCGAAAGCAATGTTCTTTCCTTGGATTGTGATTTGAAGTGACAAACTAGCAAGTCTTCCATATGGAAGCCATGTGTTATTTCCCGCTCTTTTCCATGCTCATTTGTTAGTATTTTCTCTTTGTATTATCTTGTTTTGTAAAAGCAGATTTAGGAAAATACTACCCAACTTTTGGCCAACCTCAATGGGTATCATGATTACCCTGTTTCTGTATCACCAACAGATTTGTAACATTACATTGTCAAGGATGAACATCTGTTTAAATGATCTGTTTGATACTCGGATTTCAGTTTAATTTTGAGAGGGTCCAAAAGTTGGTGGCTAGCTACCACTAGTAGCCCTCATTCACTTTTGCCATTGTGTTAAATCAACCAATTCTGTGACTTCTTTGGAACTATAAGCGTACAGTCTGCAGAATCTTGTAACGGATTGTCACTGCATTTCTGCGCTCACTCTGTGTGTACACACACAAAAGAATGCAGTGTGTAAGAGTGTGTCTGAACCAGGCACGAAATCAATGTTGTGATGTGATGACTGCAAGATTGCAAGTGTCGGTTGTTTAAGTTCATTTAGGGCTTTTTCTTTTTCCAAAATTAAAATCATAATCTTAATTTTTTATGCTTTCAATATTTTCAAAGCAAGAAATTAGAAAGCAAGTTTAATAATTAAAATTTTGATTTTGTTTTTAAAATTGACAATCAATGTTATATACCGTGTGAGTGGGTGTGGGTGTGGGTGTGGGTGTGTGTAGGTAAGGGGCAGAGCTCTTCCATTCATTGAATTGGTGGAATGCACTACCAAAACTCTGAATTGAAAGATCGGCATCTCGCGTCAAATGCTCATTTTATTGTGGGGGTCGTCTGTTCAAGCAAGAGGGTCATTCATGATAATTTGATTCTTTGTCGCCGTAGATTGAGCCTAGTCAAGAATTCGTTTTTGTAGAGACACCTGTCTTTATGAGACTTTTTTGTTTCCAGTTGAAATCTGCTACTTTTAGAGTATATATCATCACTATGACGTTTTTTCGGGGTATTTCAATTACCAATCATGATGAATCCGATCTTGATCAGAATCCGAAAAACTATGCTCCGGCACCAGATTGGTAGCAGTAGAGCTTGCCGAAGACGTGGAGGGTGGTGACAAAGCAGATGAAGCAGAGGCTCATGACGAGGACAGTGGTGGGCGATATCTTGAGTCCGCCGCGAAGGTGCCATGTCGATGGGACCAGGTCTGGTGGTCAACGAGGATGATGATTGGGATTGAGGTGAGCCTCTCACCATTGTTGCAGTGCGAAGAATTCTAGAAGCGAAAAGGAAGAGAGACGTTTATTTATTTATTTATGAATAAGTTATTTATTTATTTATGAATAATGATACAGTACAGAAAGTAATTTCTATGTCACAAAATTAGAAAGTACTTTCTCAAAACAATAAAATAAAAATATTTTATTAAACATGATTTTTACTTTGATTCTCAATTTTAGGAATTGACAGTAAAAATCAGAAATCATTTATGTTAAATGGGCCCTAAGAGAGATGAAACTGAGGTCTTGCAAAACTTTTTGAGTTATCCTACTCAGTAATTTGAGTGAAATCAAAATGGTGTCCTTTGATTACAATAATTTGATGAAATCTAATGGGGCTCTCAAATTTTAACGGTTTTATATATGCATATGGTGGTTTAAATACATACGAAAATAGAGTAATTGAATAGAAGCGCTGGAGAGAGTATAAATGCTGGGAAAACTCAACATTGGGAGAAGATCAATCAAATCATTCTAAAATTCAATTTTTGTTATGTTAATATGTATATTCAGCATAAAAATGGCATGGTCAAAAAGTTTGTGGGATCCAAAAGCTCCTGATGTGGATGGGAACCATCAACCTCTTGTTCCACAATACAGTCATAAATTATTTGTTCTACCAACAAAATACTCTCTATTATTTCTAGTTAAGCATTTAACACCCGACGCTTGTAATTTTATATAAATTATAGTTTCAATTATTTGCTCAATCTAAAATCATTCTCCGCTTATCTATTTATCAAAGTAGTCTAGTGGATACTTGTTTGCCTTTCAAAATATCTCAGACTAAAAGTTTTAAACCACTATGTGAATATGTTTATGTCAAAAAATATATATATATATGAAAAAGAAAAATTTTGTGTGTTCCATTAATTTTCTTTTAGACTTTTTCTTTTTCCTCTACTCATTTTTTTCCTCTCCTCATATATATCAGTGATTGAACACAAAATTAAATTAGAGAAGTTTCATTATAAATTGAGATTATATTAATATTTACTTTGAGAGTGATACGAATTCATATACATTTTCTGAAGAGTGGCATACAATTTGCTGAATCAAATAAAATGACAATTGTAGACCGTTCACATTTTTAGACAGTTACAACCCGTACACATTTTTAGACAGTGAATTAATATGTGAATGACACACGTTTTGAAATTGTATCCACAAATTTGTATAATTTATTGCAACTCTTGATCATATTCACCTTCTAAAACATTATAACACTATTCATTATTTTAGTGGGTGAATATTACTCTTGATAACTTAGGACAACCATTAACACTCCTCCCATTTATATAAACCATCAGGATATTTATAAACTCTAAATAAATATCTCCCAAAAACTTTACATATCTATGCAAATTATCCCACACTCAATATTCCGCGAAAGTGTGCAGAAGTGTGGAATATTTTAGAACCAAACTCTCACATAAGGGCATGCAGACAAAGTAGTCTCAAACGCACACATGTCTTGCGTGACACAACCTCTCTCAAATTGGGCGGGCCTGACACAGTGTTGGTAGGGGTGGCAAAAGTTAACACATCCTGTCAACACGACACGAGTTAAGCGGGTTTGGGTTGACCTTAAACGGGTTGACACGATTAACCCGTTTAGTTAATCGTGTCGTGTTTAGGTTGAGAGGTTCAACTCGTATAACTCGTTTATACACGTTTAATTATATATGTCGTAAATAAATTTTTGTTTAAGTTCTAAAATTAATAATGTCATATAATTTAATTTTTGTAAATTATAAACAATTTAGTAATTTGATTGATTAAAACTTATATATTTTTTTAATATTTATTATTTTATTGAGTATTATTAATAATTTAAATAATATATATAAATTTTTTATAAATAAGTTATTAGGTTACTTGTGTAACCTGTTTAATAAACAGGTCGTATTAATGTTGTGAATTTTTGACACGATTATTAAATGGGTCGTGTTCGAGTTCAGCTGTTTAAATATAATACCTTAATTTGACACTGACACAATTACCACGTGCGAACACGAATTGCCACCCTAAGTGTTGGTGAATTAGTCATTATTGCAGAGTCCATTCTCTTTTCTGTCTGTGTGTTGTACGACAACAGTGGTGAGGGTGACACCGGCATGCTCTTCCCTCTCAAGGACATCCACCTGGCCACTGCACGCACAATGACTTCGAGTTGTGACTCTAGGTCACCGTCCTTGAACCGTTGCTGGTTTTCTTGGCCTTCGTTGGTGTGTTTCAATCTTCATTGTTGACGTCGTTTTGGAGCTACTGGTTAGTGTTTTGGATGGAAAATAGGACCTTTGAATTTATTGTCCGAGAGAAAGGAGTCACCAAGTTAGAGATTTTCTGATGTCTTTTGATCTATTCAATATTGATGCAAAGTGTTCTGTTATGATAAATTTGAAAACTATGATGGTGGACAGTGGTTGCTTGGGGATTAAAAATGAGAAAAGTTAGAAATTAGAGGAATTGATAGTCCTGGGAGGATTGAGAGGTAAAATCATTCCAAGTTTTTTTAATTGATTCTTTTCTGTTATCTTCTATGCTTGTTGATGTGCTTATTGGATTTAATGGTGGCGGCGGCCGCGGCTGGTGTGATTATTGGGTAAAATGAAGTGGTGGCAGAGGCGACTTGATAGACAAAGGAGAGAGAAGAGAATGAAGGAGAAGAACATATATGTTCCCAATGTGGATTTGATGGTGGCGGAAGCTCCCAAATTGCTTCGCTACAATGGTACAACTCTTTCTGATTGTGATTTCTTCCACACACACACATCCATGTGTTAATATATATATTACTTTGGTTTTCTTTTATGTTTAAGTTTTTATATTCTGATTGCTTTTTACAGAAAACTTTCATTTATTGTGTTTCATTCCATTTATTTATTGTTAGTTTTTTTTTTTTTTTTTTTTTTTTTTTTTTTTTGATTTTTCTTTTTTCGTTTTTTCAATTTTTAGGAGAAACAAATGATATAAGCAATTTAGTCAGGTGTGACCCATGTTTTAGGATTTGCAGATATTTGGTGTTTGTTAGGAATATAATTGGTAATAGAATTCCAGAATTCTGTCAAATTCACCCGAAATAATAATTGAGCAAAATACAAAGCAACTATGAATGTTGATGTGGTGTAGTAGTGTATTCCCCTGTTAGGAGCTTTGTAAGATTGAAGTTTAACTCATTTGAATGATGATGGTAGCACGGGAGGATTAAGGCATTCCTATATTCGGAAACGGCGACTAATTTCCAATGATTAAGCATATGAGATAATTAATACAAGGGAAAGCTTGTCAAGCAGTAAATTCTGGTTCCTGAGGGCAACATTTAAAGATCATGTAAATCCTCCATTTGGAAATTAATTAAAACAAACAGATAGGTAGGGCTGATACTTCTTTTGGTAGGATCAATGACAGAGGATTGGATGGACAGGAAGGCGAGAGAGATGGAAGAGGTATCCTAGAGAAAGGAGGGAGCCTTGTTGCTGTTTGGTTAAGTAGAAAGGAAGTGAGGGAGGAACAAAACAGTTGTCATATGATTTGCCTTTATACTCACATATATATTTATATACATATTTATAGTTGTACACATGCATACATGTACATTCACATATATATATTTCCCTCTCCCCTCTACCAAACAGGGGGAGCTCCTCCTTGCACTTTTCCTTCCCTCTTCTTTTCCCCCCACCAAACATAACATGAGTGCCCAAATGATGCCCAAATTCTTGTCTTAAGTGGTTTTCATGATCATGCTAATTGGGGTGGTTGCACTTATACATCCTAGTAATGATACAATTTATGTTAAAAACAAGAATAATAAGGTCAAGAAATATGTGATCTAGGCATCCTTGAGTAGACCACTCTATCTTAGTTTTACAACTCTCTCTATGTCTTCAACTTCATTTTACCTTTTAACTCCTCTCTACATCTTCAGTTGTAAACCTTCAGCCAGACTGCCCTATTTGCTTGTGCACCTTGCTCCATCAGCATTTTGCTCATTGGCTTAGTAACATCTACCAGGTTCCCATGACCATTCTATAAACGAGGGCGTGAGTTGTGCTTCAGCACAATAAAGAAGATAAAGGCAAGACAGGCAAACAACACACACATTGCAGACAAGGTGAGTATGGCTGTATCTACTCTCTTGTGGTTTAAAGCTCTCAATCTTGCCAGTCTATCCCACACATATGAGCCATCTGGAAGCCGTGGGCAGCTGCAGTCTGATCTGCAATTCTTTGTATCACAATAAAAACTGATTGAGGTCAATGCGTTCACTGCATATTGGAATGGGTTGCTCCAATACATCCACCTGTAGAACTTTATGTCGGATAGCACAACAACTACTCCAGAAGCTGACACCCACAATGAGGTGACAATTGACACAACAAATGCAGCGAGTGTAGGCACTGGTGCTAGGAAAGTGACCATCATCCCGAAATATGTAACACACAATGTGAACATGAAGAGCACTAGCCAATACAGTAGGAATTCTGTAGTTGAACCTGTCCCAATTCCTGCCATGCTATTCCCAATTCCTACTACTGCAAGCGTTGCGATTAAAAAATATGGAATCTCACCCACTGCCCATGAGACTGGATAAAATATTGGAAGATACATTCCAGCCCTTTTCTCTCTGAAGTATACCAGCCTGTCTGTGCCAATTTGGGGGATGACATTGTTTGCTGAGATAACCCCAATGAGTATAACTTGCATGTATATGTAAAGTGAACGTGAAGTCAAGCTGTATGTATCTTTGTAGTCGATTTGAAAGTAAAGGGAACCCATCAGCAGACCAATCATGATGCACCCTGTAAGTCTACCATATGTATATTGCACATTTCTCCATAAGAACCTTTGTGTTCTTAGCAATACCAAAATTGCTTGGTGTGAATATGGAGCTGAGTAAGTAGAAGATAGGCGCTCTGTTGTTCCATTCTTGGTCAACTTCTTTAAATTTCTCATCTCTTTTTGGTTGATCTCATGCAAGCAACTCACTTTAAAGATCTCTGCAAAGTTCAATGAAGGAGTACCCCTATTTTTTATGCCTAGGCCAAGAGCCCCCATGACAAAGCTAACTGGACTTTCTCTAATGAAATATTGAGGGGCCTTTGGAATTGATGCAAAATAATCTAGCAAATCTTTGCAGTTAGATCCTATTGGACCAAAGTATGCTTGGTCCCCTTCTTGTGTTAGAATGAGAGCCTGGTCAAAGAAGGACAGAGAACGAGCATTGGGGTGTGTAAGAGTAGCAATAATGACACGATCTGACTCTGAAATTTGAAAGAGAATTTTGAGGATGTTCAGTGTTCCTGTTGTGTCGAGGCCAGATATTGGTTCTTCAAGAAAGAGAAGACTCGGGTTAGCAGCGAGCTCTACTGCTATTGTCATCTTCTTGGCTATTTCGAAAGTCTTTCCAGTGGTATCACGAAGGGAACCAACTAGTTGGTTGGAGTAGGGCATTAGACCGAGTTGGTTAAGGACCAGCTCAACGTGAATGCGACGGCCCTTGGTGTTGATTGCTTGGTCAAGACGAAGTGCTGCACTGAATTGAAGGGATTCACGTACAGAGAGATAAGGTTGGTGGGCATCAAGCTTCTCAACATAGCCTGTTAGTCTAAAGAAGGTAGCTCCAGGTTTTACATCATTTGCCTGAATGTTTCCAGTGAGGTTGCCAGTTAAAGGTACCCTTCCAGCCAGGCACTTGAGCAGTATGGGCTTGCTTGTTCTGGAACCACCTAATATGGCTAGCATGTTTTGTGGTCTAGCATAGCCAGTGATGTTGTTGAAGATTGATGTACTTTCTTTAGTTTCCTCATCATACCTGATGCATAAACATTTTTCTGTGGTTAAACACCAATTTTAAAGAGAATATCTGACCCCAACCTGGTAATATAATATTCTTTTGAAGCAACTGGGGAACCAACAGGAACAGTAGGAGCATTGAGATTTGGATTTAGAGATTACATTTAATAGGTTAAGATTCTAAATGAGGGTTAACCTTGGCGCAATGGTAAGGTTGCTCCATTGTGACCTGGAGGTCACATGTTCAAAACCGGAAACAGCCTCCCCATACGGAGGTAAGGTCGCGTACATCTGACCCTCCCTAGACCCCGCAATGGCGGGAGCCTCGTGCACTGTGTTTGCCCTTAGGTTATGATTCTAAATGTTTAACTAACTAATAGATAGGAGAACACACCTTGTGAATGACAAATCCTTGAACAGGAGGGTTACTGGTTCAACTGGAATTCCTAGCTGATTCCTCTCAAAATCAATTCGGAATTCTTCAATCCATTTCTCAACTCCCTCATTGTGGTTCATTTTGCCATAAGCGGAAAGTAAACTTTGCGGCCTACTATATGTGGAAGCACTGCTGTAATCATTAGAATGTCCATTGGGACTTCTGTCAGACTCAAATCCACTCTCCATATCTTCTTTAAAGTTGCTTATTACTGGGCATTTTTTGAGATGAGGCAACGACTGGCTGGTTGCTGTGAACTCTATTTTCTTCAGTGCCAATAATGCTAACAAGTTGGCAGCTACTGTCCACCCCAAGATAATGACGAAAGGCAGCCATCGTCTCTTGCCGTCTTCAGAAAGCTCATAGAAGATGAGATAGGCTTTTCCAACCGTCATTGTTGGGTACTGGTCACAGAAAGGAAGCTTGCCAAGGAAGTTGGAGCAGGGCTCAGTGTAACCCTCAAACTGGAACCGGCAGAATGAGACATTAGCCCAGTGAATTGGGTTCACATAAGTGAGCCATTTCCAGTATGTTGGGATATTGGATGGGTAGATCACAAAGCCACTGAAGAGTAGGAAGATCGAAACTAGTAGACCTGCAAGCAGTGAATTGATATAATTAATTCCCAAGTTACATTGAACTTCAAAGGTTTTCAGGCATCAATTGCATTCTCTCCGCGATACTTAAATTGGGGAAGCATGGGAATTGAAGCTTCTTTGTTCAAAGGAGAACTCTCTGTTCACACAACTGCTTGCAGAATGCTCACAATGCATATGCATGGTTTCACTTTATTGGTCACACACTAGATGTTCTGAATCACTAATAGGGATCATAAACGAGTGCAAAAAACTTTAGTTAAGAGAAACAGAAGTACCTGCTAAAGCATTTCCCACTTCTGGAATGGAAGAGATGGCGCTAATAAAGAAAAAGACAGAAGAACCAAAGTATGCAACCAAGAATAACAGAAGCAGGTACTCAAAGAATGGTGCCCAATCTCCTGCCAATGATAGACCCGCCAAAAAATAAACGCAGAGAGTATAAGCCAGTGCCTGCAAAAAAATACTGCAGATTTGAATTCTGTGATAGCTATGGCTACTTCTTCAGTGCATAAAAAAGTAATTGAACATTACTTCTAAAAGGGTTTGTGGGAGATTGACTATGCAATGAGCAACTATGTACGAAGAAGCTCTGAAGAATCTCTGAGCCCTATGCTTGTAAAAGATTGGTCTTTGGAGCATGTATAGAGGAAGCTGCACTAGATTTATGAGCATTATGCTCATGGTAGACACGAACCCCAGGGCCCTCACTGAATTCATTTGCTGTTGTGTATATTGATCTCCTAGTTTGTGGAATAGAGTCCCTGCAAACACACCGAGTACAATTGCCTGCAAAACTCAAGAATTGATACTTAAGATAACCTGAAGATTGTAATGATTGGTTGATCCTCATACATAATCAGTCGTAGTCAGACAAGTGGTAGTATTGACCTGGAATAACCTTAACTTCAGCAAAGTTTGGAGCCTTTTAGTGATCTTGACTTGCCTCTTTATTAGAGTTTTAGTAGACTTCCACCACGTCTGAACAAAGGGCCTTTGGAATTGCTCCCATTGAGCTTCATACTCCTCCTCCTAAAGAACAAAAAACCAAAATGAGGGATAAGGATCTCTCTCTCTCTTATTGGTGAGATCTCTCTTTTGGTTTTAAGACATAATTATTGCATCGTTATTTACATCTGAAATTAGTATGCAATCCATCTGATTCACCATTTGTCACTTCTTTGCTGGTGTTAACAAGTTGGCATACCTCTTCCTTGTAGCGCTCAACTTGGAGATGGATGGGGCCTCGTTCCTTCTTTAACACAGAGTATGCATGTGAGGCACGCTTGCGCTGGATTTTTTGTGAGCCCACAGCTAGGTATTGCATTTCTTCGTTGTTCATGGATATTGCTGTGACCACATCTCCAATCTGAACTCTTCCTGTGCTCTCAATTCCCCCTGAATGCCCTACTTTGGTAGAGAGCTTAGCAACCACCAATTCTGCAAAATCATATGTGCAGAGTAAGTGTAATTGTCATTGATTTTTGAGAAACCATGAGTGGCAAGTTATCAAATATGTCGGTAGATGACTTAAATACCTGTCTCTTTTCTTGGCTGTGAATCAACTGAATAATGGTATATGGATGGCGTTTTAAGGGATAGGCCAAGCCCGGGCTCACTTTCTACCCAATACGTGTGTTTCACATCATCTCCGTCAACAATCCTCATAATATCTCTGTAATGATCTGAAGCCCTGTAGCATTCTACAAGTTCTTCAATGGTCAAAGGAATTGCTTCTGATCCCATATATTGGGAACCATATCCAGCTACGATATCTTCGAGAAACTCAGCGGACTCCACATGCGATGGTTTCTTATACCTGCATATTAAAATCAATGGTGCTACTTTTCTGTGTTATTGCAACGAAGGGAACCGTAAGTGCTTATGAGCAACAATTATAGTGCCTGCTTGAGTCAATTTAACAGTTTTCTGTTTTTTGATAACTGAAGTCAGAAATAATGCAAAATTTTGTTTGGTTGACAGTTTCTGAAAATTGTTTTTTGAAAACTCAGTTAAGAAAGTGTCATCTTCAAAGACCTGTCTTTTATAGTTTTTTTAAAACAGTTTTCTATTTCTTGAGTTCTTGAGAACTAGTTTTAGAAAACTGAACCTAACCAGACAAATACTCTCTTCTATCACTATGACTATAGTACTAACCCGAGCTTGATGAAGTAAGGAATTGCATCTTGACGAGTGCCTTGGAACAAAACGTGACCATCACCGAGAAGTATAATCCGATCAAAAAGATCAAACACTTCCTGTGAAAGTTGGGTTAGGGACATGATCGCAGAAGATTGCTGAATCCTGCTAATGGTCCTTATAGTGTCCACTAAGTCGTACGTAGCTGCAAGATCGGACCCGGTAAATGGTTGATCATAAAGCATGACTGAATATGTTCCCAGTGCTAACTCAGCTGTTGTGAGCTTCTGTCGGTCTACGTCAGAAATTGCTTCTCCAGAAAGTTTGTGTTCAATATTCTTTAAGCTTAGGATTTCTAAGACATACTCTAGAAATGGATCTTGTCCCTCCACCAGTGCATGGGCAAAGAACTTTCTCATTTGAGGAGTGAAGTTCTCTGGCCGAAGCCCCTGAGTGCAGTCCCTTGCAAATTCAAGCGTCTCTCGAACTGATAAAAATGGAATGTGTCTGCAATTTCAGGGACAACGGAAATATAAATCTTGAATTTCCAAGAATCAATGACGATTTTATGGCATTTAGGTTTAGAGCACATACTTGTCAAGTTGGCCACTGATGAAAGCAATGAGCCTACTGAGACGTATTTCGGTGGCGAATTTATCATTGTACATCACCACACCTTGCAAGTCTGAGTTCTTAGTTTCTTCTACTCTTCCTGCTAGAATTTCTAAGAGAGTGCTTTTTCCGCATCCTGCAAGATTTGATCTGTGGATTAACTTTATGAACTTCTTCAGCTTCAGAAACTAAGGCTGTCTTTGTAATATCAGCAGTGGCAGCATAAATCAATCAATGGCAATCTAACAAGGTAAAGAATTTATTATTTTTCATCTGTCGCTGGCAATTATATTTATTTATTTCGGAGTTTCTGCAATTATGATCCTGTTGTGTTGCTTATTAATCTACTTCCTCTTACTATATTTATTCCTGTGGTCCTCATTATTTAGCTGGAAAAATGTTACTAAGGTATATCTTGAATGACTATGATCATTTGATTGTAACAGTGTTTGTTACAAATTGAAATGACTAGGTATCTCATGTGTTTGTTAAGAAATATGTTGGAAACGACTTTCACCCTTCTATAAGAAACACGTTTTCTTAATTATCTAGTGGCTTAATGTTAGCCCCTTGACAAAATTTAGCCCTGTAACACTTAACCTCCTTGAAAAAACCGTCCGGCAAATATCACTTCCAGGTATAAGTTTTTTAAGTTGGGGATTTTGTTTGCAAGAATACAAATTTTTTTTTTTGTTCTGGGAAAATGTATGAATTGTTGTCCGTTACTTTTTTTTATGTCAGCAAAATGAAAAGAGAAAAGCCAATTTTTTTTAGCCAGTTCTTTTGGGTAGAGTTTGTGTGATGTTCCACATCACCTGGGAAAAGAAGTTGTTGGCACTTATATGAGTCGGATGCCTTCTAGTTGTGTAGATGCGTTTTGAAAATCCTGAGTCCGGAGAGAGTGCAAAGTGGACAACAAATACACAGTGGGGGTGAGTTGTGATATTTATTCAAAAACCCTAGGTCCAATCCATCTTTGTTGCATGTATTCAAATAACCCGTGTTAATTTTGGATCACCTGTTCCATTCTCTTGTTTAGGACTTTTGGAATCATGTGTGATAGATGAAAGATGAATCATGTGTGATAGATGAAAGATGATTGAGAATACTGTATTTGCTGCTATGAGATAAGTGGATTTTTTAATTTTAATTTAATTTAATTTATTATTATTATTATGATCTTCTCTTTCCCTGTCGTGAACTCATTTCAACTTTTATCTAAATAAACCAAAATAAAGTGTTTTGAATAGTTATAGCTTGTAAATGGAAACTTCTTATATGTATATATGTTAAAGAATTAAATTTTGAAGCAATTATGTTTATCAAGAAACTTTCCCCCTCCCAATGGGCAGTAGCCCAATTGTATGATCTCTCTCTTCAAAAAAGAAGTTGAGTATTCAAGACCCTTGTTAGGGGCAATATCATTGGTGTGTGTCGGTTGCTTAAACTTTTCAGAATATATATATATATATCTATATTCCCCTACCTGGAGGGCCAAGTAGAAGGGTCATAGACCCAGGCATGACATATCCATCCACTCCCTTCAAAATATGCACCCAAGTTGAATCATTTCTCTGAAAAAGGGTCCTGAAGGGACCAACAAAGCATCCCACCAATTTATTTCCAAAAGTTTCATATTTGTTGCTTGGATTCTCAAACTTCTTCGAGTACTTTATGCCAGAAAATCGAACAACCTGAAAAATTTAGCAATATCAGTGAGGCTAATAGAAGATTAATAGACCTTGGGACATGGTATCTGTTCTTGAAAACATTGTGGTTGCTTTTTCTTTAAAACTACATTTTTCACTTTTAAATGAACTTTTATAAATCTCTATTTTTGTCAAAAATAAAATTTCAATCGTTCCTCGTTTGCATCTCTCTCCTCAGAAATTGGTAGGAAAGAATTGACTGACCAGGTAGATCAAAATTGCGGAAATTTTATTTATTTGTTTTTTGTTAAGTGTTCTATCATCACTTCCAGGTTTGATTCTCTTATCTTTTCACACACCATAACTAAGATTTTATCTAGAGAAGATAGCTATTCTGAAGGCTAATTCTTATTTTTAGTTGCCTCCAATATATCAATAATTAAAATTGTTTTTGATTAAATTAATTACATTGACCATTTGTATCACTACTACAAAAGTAGTATGGTACTACATAAATGAAAAATTCATGCAAAAATTGCATGATGCTCCCTTCATACCAAGTCATCTACATGAAAATGTAAAGTCCCTTAAAATATAGAAAATTTTAACTTCCAAACCGACTCTGTTAGATATGTATTACATTTCTTGCCAACTGTCCCATGTACTCGCAATGAACATCAACAATTAAATCCAAAATATCTTTGAGTGAAGTTGAATATAACGCGTGACTAGCTTGACTAGCCTGACTCACATCATTTATCAATAAAAAATAAAATAATAATAATAATGTAAAATGAAGATAAAATTACTCAAAAAAAAATTAAAAATAAAAATAAAAATTGACTCACGTCACTTGTTTAATATCAGCATATTAAAGCATATAAAATTTTATAAGCATGTCACAACTTTGAAGCCTTTGGTTTATTTGTATGGGTTTAAAAAAGAGTTTATAAAAACTACCTTGTGTTACTAAAAATTTCAAAAAAACACCATATCTAATGGCAAATAGTTAGTTCAGTAGAAAAGATTCAGCAAATGTTTTATCAAACAGAATGAAAAAAGATTGTATGAGACTGAGGATGGGTTCAGGGCAGGCTTTCCTTGTTCCTGGGTTGGTCCGTGATCTGAAAACCAAGCAGGGCAGAGCCAAGTATGGGGCCCAGACACCAAATTTATGCATTCTTAAGCGAATGTCAAAGTTTTGCTTGAACGCATATCATCTGGTATCTCAATAACGTTTAAAGTAAAAGTTTAAGAGTTCAAGTTCGGAAGAAGCTGTATAAGTGTGTTAATATTAGTCATGTGAGCACAATTATTATTGTTTTTGAGACTGAAGACTTACGCGACTGCTGAGTGACAAATGTCTTGCTGTGAGCGCTTTAGTAGAAGTGCTACCAAATTTTAATTCATTAATTTGACATTTTGAAGTCAAATCATTTCTATTTCTATAAGATTGAATGATAATAAATTTTCAAACGTGAAGTATAAGAAGAAAAAAAAATTACCAATAGACACTATCATTGTCAGAAAATAAAAATAAAAATAAAAAATTAAATTAAAAAAAAAAAACTCATTTTGTATCATAAAACTTGTTCATTTTAAGAAGTGTGAATAGTGAACAAATTTTACGGAACTGAGGAGTAAAAAAAATAAAAACCATTAGAGACAAAAAGAGGAGCTTCCACCAGCAATACAAAGATTCCCAAATATTCTGTGAGCTCATATAGTAATATGCAGTGGTAATCATGTTTATATATTATATATATATATATATATATATATATATATATATGGATATATTTGTATGTGTTACTAACTTACTACTGTGTATTTATTAGTTACTTTTCCAAAGTTGTATACTCAAAACCTCTAACACATTGCTATACCATGCTATAGGTGGATTAGTGCAAAAGATCTCATAAACTGGCAATTATGCCAAATCAATATGACAATATATGATAGAATAATGCGAATAAAATAGTGTATATATTATTAGGAGAAGAGAAAGGTCAAAGATAAATACATACCTATCATATATATATATATATATATTATGACATCCAACCTACCCAATTGTTTTGAAATTCATGAATTAGGATTATGAGCTAGACTATTAAATACGAGAATCATTATTTATTAAACTATAATTCTATAACATGCTTAGGTGAATGACTGCAAGCCTATGATTTTTTTGGGGCAGTACCCTACAAAACAAGGGACAGAGTTACCCTACCTGTTGAGGAATAGGAGGAGTGATTCTTGCCACGTCACGCAAATAACTAACAAAACCATCCTTCAAAAGGTACTCCATCCCCATGAGCTCCTCACTCTTCTTCCTCACCCCATTCACTTCACCGCCACCATCCTTCACCTCTTCCACCTCTGTCGTCTCAAACGCCCTCCCAACCTCATCTCTCAGCCCGTGCCTCTTCAGGCTCTTATACATCCTCAACGCAACGTACCTGGCCGTCTCCGGCGAAGCATTCTCTATTCGTTTCTGAACTTCCGGCGTCGACCCACCTGACCTCAATGCCGGCATATTTGCCACGTAAGTTGGCTGTGTTACGACGCTGTTATTGCTTCTCGCCGAACACGCGCCGACTGAAGATGGTCTTGGTGAGTAGTTTTCAGGTAGTGACATGTCACCTTCGTCCCACCTTGTGGAAGTTAATGGGGAAGTCATGAGATTGTTTGACATTCTGGTTTTCGTAAAATTTAGGGTTCTTGAGGTTGGAAGAATTGTTTCAAAGAGGGACTAGGTTTTGTTGGGATTTAAATGAAGGGTTGAGAGTGTTTTTATGGGTTTAAATGTAATGTTTATTGAAGTTCTTTATTGTGATTGTCAAATGTGTTTGTGTTAATAAAGTGAAAAACTAGTTCTATGCATCGTGAAAAGCGGCTCATACGCCACGTGGAAGATGGAGGTTGCGTGATGACAAGGAAATAGAGACATAATAACAATACAGTATCTATGTTAAGTTTGTCAATAAGGGCGTGTTTGTCTCTATTTTGTGTTTTGGATTTCGGATAAAGTAAAATATTTTTCAGAAAATATATTTTTTATTTTTTAGTGTTTGGTTGTAGTAAAATATTTACGAAGAAAAAAAAATTTTAAATTTAATAAAAATAATTTATTCATTAATTTTCGACAAGTTATTTTACATATTCTGTCCGATGGATTAAACCTCAACCTCGACGTAGACCTTTACTGAACACCGACAAAGTAAAAATAAAAGAATAATTTACCTGGAAAAAAAAATTATTTTTTTAAAAAAATATTTTATGCCGAAACAAACAGGGCCTTCATGCAATGTTTTTGTTGTGCTGTCATGTATTTAGAAATAGGAATTTGTTTTGTATTTAAATTTGTTGCACAATATTTTGAAATAAATACATACATAAATATATATATAGATTTGAAAAGTCAAAAATATATATTTTTTCGTCATAATTTAGTTGTTCATCTTTTCTTTTTGGATTATTCTAAAATATTTGTCACTTTAAATTTTTTTTTTTTGGTAATCGTGGGTGTCCGAACTAGGTTACGCGCAACTCGACTAATTCCACGAGACCCTGAAGTTAACAACCGGATAAGCCTCCAATGGCAACCATTGAGGAGTAAACTCAACGCCTGACCAACTGAGCTATCCCACAGGATTGTCACTTTAAAAAGTTAAAATAATATATTTCACATATTTCTATAAAATACTCTTGAAGTTTTAAAAAAATTCAAATTTGATTATATATATATTTAAATTTGAAAGGATAATTCAGTAACTTTTAAATGGGACTATGCAATTTCTCCTTAAAAAGTTTTACTTCCAAGAGGGACATTTAATATGGAGTATTTATATAATATTGACCTTTTTATATATACTTTTTTATATATATATAAAAATAATCTCTACAGTTGTTCACTTACAGTAACAAAAGTCCTAAAAACATTTTATTCTTGCTTTTAAATTTGGTCTTTAAAAAAAAACACAAAACAAAAACAAATACAGTATTTTGCAAAACGTAACAAATGTTGCCGGACATGTTTTCTCTTTTACGATCTAACATTAAAAACCCGAAATAAAAGTAATAGTCAAATACGCCCTTAGCTAATGAGGATTTTGATTGGTAGGACTGATTGATTCATCACTATGCTAAAACATTTTGCCGATTTATACTTTATCATATTATTTATATGCTTTTCAATATATTATTGTGCCAACAATTTGAATTACGTAACGTTGGATGACTTGATAGAGTTCGGTGAGTTCATTGTATAGTCCCAATTCATATTATCAATTATGTAATCCATGACATAATTGATTTGTTAGTCCAAACTCTGTCAAAGATGCTTACTCTGACTTTATCTAAGAATTATATTTGATAAATAAATAATAATAAATAAACAAATAAAAAAAACTACTATAAGATAATAGAAATTTGTGATTATCAAAAATGTTATATGTTAATTCACTAGTTATTATTAGGTCAGCTATGTTGCAGCTTGGAGTTGGCTTTCACCAACTCACCTGTGAGGTTGTTTGGTGGTGCATAGAACCCACCAACCCCAAAAAATAAAATTTTAAATATTAAAAATTAAAAATTAAAAGAAAAAATAAAATAAGATAACAATTATATAAGGGAAGGCAGGCCGTGAACCAAGATAATCTTTTTTAGTTGAATTGGGTTAGAGATAGAGATAGAGATAGAGATGAGACAGAGAGTTGGCCGTAATAAAATAAGAGAAATTATATTTTCTTCAACTGTTATAAATTAATGATGAATATTTAGATGGAAAATAAGCAGGGGGAATAAAGATTCCATTAATATTATAAACTTTGGAATATAGGAGGGACAATCACATTGAAATGGACATAGTACTAGGTTTTAACACCAATAAGAATTGCTGTGAATAGCTTGCAAAGAATGACACACTCTTTTGATGAAAATTAATTAAATGTCTGCAGTAAAGGCAAATGGTATGTATAATATACATATATCTATATGTACATTTATGTATCAGGCATATGATGCATGACCCATGAAGGGCTCCATCAGTCTCATGCTTCCAAATCATGTATACATGCCTATGTACATACAAAAGGTAAGTATTAACTAATACATGAATGGCCTGCCTACATACATTCAAAGGTAATTAGTATACGAATGGACTTGAATCTTTGATGTAGGTAAACATCAATTTCTAGTATAGTAGGTAATGCATGCACATGCAGGTGTGTGTGTGTGTGTGTGTGTGTGTGTGAGAGAGAGAGAGAGAGAGAGAGAGAGTTTAGTATTATACTCTTTGTACATATTGGGATCATATTTCTTCTACCATCAAACATCAATAGAATTGCTTCCTTCTATTGTATTCTGTTAAACAAAATTACACCTTAGTATTGATTTGAAACATACAAAACCATATTTTGTTAGTATCAAAGACATTGGATGGCTAATCATCAATTCAGAAGAATAACCACACTTTTTTTTAGTAGCAGTTAAGGGCTGTAGAACTCTAAATAAGCAGATCAATAGCCTTGTATCACAATCATGTGCGTGAGGTTTGAGAGGTTCACCGATTTGAGTCTCAGACAATTACATAGGATTCCTCGAGGGAAACCCGAACACTATTCGATTACATGAAAGTGTCACACACTAAAATTAGACGAATTTGCATTAGAACAGAGGAAAATGTTTTCAAGATGTTCTAAGAATCTCCTACACAACAATAAAGTCTATAATTTATGTGCAAATAATATATTTACTGCCATTATTCAAACAATATAGCTATCTATGCTCAAGAATAAGCCTTTTCGGTCATCAGTTTACTGAACGCTGACCTACGAAAGAAGGAAGAGAAAGACAATCTTTCCATTTGATACAGAAACTTACACTATCCAAAGAGGAGCATGTAAAAGAAAAAAGACCAAATGAAAGAAATAAGATAAAATTATCCGAAAATGAGCAAGAAGCACGAAGGAGGCAAGCAGCAATTTTATTCACAAACACAGAAGATTGCTTCAACAAAATAAAAGCAATTCCGACCTTCTGAGGAACAACAACACACAAAATACATGAGATATGTATGTGCTACAAATTCATTTGCCATCCACATACACATTTAACTGTTTATTGTGGCAACAAAAATAAAAACACAACCATCCACCTTCGGTTACATGGGCAATAAGAATTCGGGCATACATGCTCTGGAGCATAAAGATAAGACATGCCAATGGTGGAATACTTAATATAAAGAAGCAAGTACCTCCAACAAGGAAGCAGTGAATTGCATTTGGGTCGCCTCATTGATGGTCAAGAAGAGAGGCACGTGCACGAAAAGCGATTTGATCCCATGCTGCTCTGCAAAGCGGAGGGAATGATAATATACATAATTACAGACAAATCGCCCAGCGTCTTTGGATGTCATCACCTCATAGCCCATCTTTGCCAAGGCCTTGGTAATCGCCTCAGCTGGAAGAGGAGTCTGCATGCAGTTTTAATGGACATGAATTACCATTAGGGTAAAATAGTTGAAATAAAAAAAAAAAAATTGAGATAGAAACAAGACTAGTAACAAGTCAAAATACTCTCCCTACAAAGAGATTTGCATTGCTCTCTCTCTCTCTCTCTATATATATATATAAATATATTATTTATATATATGTAGTGACAGACACGTGCGTATGTCCTTGGTAAGAACTTAGTTTTGACAAAACATTGAATATATCGACATAATCTCAGCATTTGTTTGAGATAAAATTATAGTCAATCCAAAGATATTTCTGAATTCTTTAATATTTCATTTTAATTTGGACTGGACCACAATGGTTTTCAGGTTACAAGAATTGAAAACTCTGATGAGTGAGTGATGCCATGATGTATCAAGTCAAGTTGTACGTGTTATCTTGAATCTCATCAGAAAATTGTGATTTAACGTTTAGCAGAAAGCCAAGAAGAACTTGGCAAGCATGCTCAAATCAAACTTTTACAGATATTACAATCTAAATGTCAATAACTAGCAAAATACAGCAGGATCCAAGTATGCACATCCATGCCTTAGCAAATAGATACTGATGCATGTGTTACATGAGCATCAAAAGGACCACATGCAATCAATGAAAATTGGGTCCTCCTGAAAATTATGTATCTCCAAAAATTGAAAAACAAACAATTGAGCATCATCCGCAACAGAAATTAATAAAAAATGCAAAATCATGACAAGGATGGAGAATGTGGATACATCGGGAAAACACCGAGTAACCCATTTAGGGGATTAAAAACTGACTACTGGTGTTGGATGATGACTTTAAAAAAGTTAAACATAGCAGGTGGGATGGCGGGTAATAGAAAGGAATGGAGACAGAATTCATGTGGCGACCCCATTCATGAGGGAATAAGGCAAGGATGATGATAATGATATTGGCCTTGGATGCAAAAACACACGCCCGGTTTAGGTTACAAAGCAAGTTAATACAGATATGTTAACAACCCATATGTGGAGTACAGATGAAAGAATCAAGAAAAACTGACTGAAATACATGGAAGGGTACAGATGACAGAATCAAGAAAACCCATTCTACCTCGCGAGTTCGTGATATCTCGCCATCTGCAGGAATAATGGGGACTTTCTGCAAACAAGAAGAGAACGGAAATTCAATTAGATTAAATTTGGAACAAGAAACCCAAGATAAAAGAGCACTTGCACTAGTGAGAAACCTAAGAGGCTTTAAGTGACCTGAGGCTTCCATCCCATCTCATCTGGACAGCGAAAGGTAGCTTCATTGACAGCTTGATGCTCAATGGCAAAGCTTGTTGCAGCACTATTAACTCCAAAGTGTAGCTGTAAATATGTTGTTAGAAAAGACAAAAGACTCTAGATAAACAAATGTAGATAGATAATAGGATTACTTCTACCATAGATGGACATGCAACCTAATAACCTGAACATCTAAAAATGCCATTATACACAATGGCTAGTCTCAGCAGAACGCTAAAAGGTTGTCCCCGGAACATAAATAATAGGTTTTATTTCAACCTTCTTTGTAACTAAGAGAGGTCTTTATTATTTAAAATGGCACACTGTATATTTTATAGGAGAGCAAAAATGAAAGGAATTAGCTATGATTTCTACTCTTATTCAAGTCTGACCTATTGATTAGGTGGTTTTTTTTTTTTACACTTTTTCTTTGGAGGGAGGGGGTTGGGTTCACACATACTTCTAATGCTAGCATGATAATCAAACAATGTATGAGATGAAAAAGGATGCTAAGATTCAGCCCATTTACCAGAAGGATGCTTCCGTAAATGAGAAAGAAGCCACTTTGTTGCATTTTTGAGGACATTAAAACTTATTCTGAATAATTAATCCATATTCTTAAAGCTCTAAGAACAACAGGGCTTTCTAATACCATTTCTAGGATATATACAAATAATATAATGAGTTTACCACAAGATTTGTTGAATGGCAAATAGGCCTGCTGTGATTTCTAATTAAAGATATAGTTCCAAAGACATTACAGATAACCAATCATCCAAGCATGTCCTCAAAAGCAAAGGTGGAGAAGGGAAAAAAGGTTCATAATTCAAATGAAGCGGGAAGGGGGCGATAAATCTCACAAAATGTATGAAGTAAAAAGTGAGCAACTCACCCAAATAATTCTATCAGAACTTGATGATATGGGATCCTTCTTGTTCACAGCAGATTGTAGTGTCTGGTATAAGGGAACAAGTGCCCCCTGTCCTGCAGTCTCAAGAATGTTGCAACTCCCAAGGATCATCCCTTTAGGCAGACCCTTCTTCTTCATATACTCTTCTAAATTCCGTACAATCATTTCGGTTGGATTCTCTGAAACTCCATGGAATTTCTTGAAACCTGTTATGTGTATCGTGACCCCGAGAGGCCCTTCAGACCCCATTCACTGACAATTTATAGTCTACACAAATCAAATTGGTGTTATAGCATCAACTTTTAGTATCTGATCACCTGCATCAAATGACAAACAATGAGTACAAGATTTGATCTTTTCTGACCAAGGATACATCTGAAATCCACCGACATTAATTTGCCAAGCATTCCTTACCACTTGCCACACTGATAAGAAAAGACCCAATTCCCAAACAATAAAAGACCTAGCCTACCACACCCTCCAAACTTTGATCCAACCACCCATGTTACTACACAAAAAATGACTTTTCCCACATGACATAAAACTCAACCTGGCATTCAGATAAAAGTTTGATTCATTTATTACAACAGTCAACCAGCCACGAAAATACAATGGCACAAGCATGATTATGTTGTAGCTTATCACATGTATCAACAACGAGCTCCTCTCAGAATTCATGGACCTCCATTAGAAAACAAATTATTTTGTGTTACTCTTTATTTTACAAGGGCTTACTATCTATACCCCGAACATGATGAATCCGTAATATTACTCGAATTGGATCAGTGATGGATTTCAAGTTTTCGTCCTAAACTGAATCGGATCGGTTGCTTCCAATTAGGTAAAACAATAGTTCAAAAAGCACTCAAAGGTAGGGCATTCCCAATTTTTATAGGAAGACAACTATAACACTTGGGTGCTGATGAAACATGTGAACACGAATCAACTAAATATTCTATTCCCTCTGATACTAACCCACCATGGCAAGTAATGATGCGTCACATTAATGCATAAAACTTCTACTAAGAAAAACAGAAGAATCAAAAACAAATGAGATCGTTAACAAGCCCAATATTCTCAAAAGAAAGATGAAATATACAGAAAAGATGATTTCAAGCTAGAAACCAAAAACCCAATTGAACTAAACAAAAATAGTCAAAAACCCATTTTTCAGAACCATGTTAGAGATCCATTTCAATCCAAAAATCTAATCCAAAATCAAAGACATGCCATTTCATACAAAAACAGAGCAAACATATGAAAGAACCACCGATTTGGCAAAACCAAAAACCCTCAACTGATCACTGAATTACAGTCAACCCATCAAAAATTGAGACTAAAAACCACAAACCCAATTGGGATTATAGATTAAAAAAAAAAAAACGAAATAACAATTAATCGCATACCCAATTCATTAAATGAATCAGAAATCTACCTTTAAGAAGGATTAAGATGGAAGCATATGAAGTGTAAATTGAAAAAGAAGAAGAAGAGAGCTTTCCTCTCACCTGAATGAGTCAATAAAGCAATCGAAAAAGCAATGGCCGAACAACCAGTTATTATGAATTGAGAATGATTTAATCGGAGACTAAACTGATTGAGATTCCCTATCAGATAAGAGAAAAAATTGCATTAAGAGAACGTGATAATGGTGGGTCGTTTTCATACAAAACAAACACAGTAATGGCGTAGTTGTAGTACTATTTTTTTTGTTTTTTAATGTATAAAATACTTTCTCCACCAATTCAATGGAAGTGAATAGTAGTTTTTAAGGAAACCTGTGGGTTACGCACTCTCTCGTTAAAAAATTATTAAATTATTTTTTTAAGTTTTAAATATTATAAGGAGTATTAATTGCTAAAAATACTTATAAAAAATATTTTTGTAAAAATTTTATCATACAATCAGTCAAATACATGTTTCATGTTAAAAATAATTGTCTTAAAATTTTCCTTACACAATTATTTTAATAGAGGTTAATTAAAATGATTTCTTCATGATAGTTATAAAAGGAATTAATTGTTAAAGATATTCATGCTGTTTTTTTGTGAAAGTCCAAAAGGTTATTTTTTTTGCATTTGGCCCAAAATTGAGAGAATATATATATAAATTAATATATATAAAAATATGTAAAATATATTATTTAAAAATAATTATTATTATTTTGGGACAGATATATATATATATATATATATATATATATATATATATATATATATATATTATAATAAGCGCTTGTGAGCTTCACGTAGTGTGTGGGATTTCTATTATAATAATATATCGGACATTTGAAGATGTACATCTTTTTTCTCGAATTTATCTATTGATGTGACTTCTGAGTACTCAATTGCTTTTTGGTTTCTCCACACCAATCGTCTCATAATTGTACACGGTAGCTACCTACAGTGGACCCTCAATAATTTTTTGATTGATTAATTAGATATAAATTATTACATTGTTTTGGTGGATAGTTTAAATTCATGCCCTTAAATTAATAAAATGACATTACTTTTAATTAATCAAAAAATTATTAGAGGATCTTCATTTGATATTTGGTAGGTTAATCTAATAAAAGTTTTGATATATAAATTTGAATTTAATTAATTTATTGAGTGTTAATTGTGCAGGACATTCTAATAATTTTTTATTAATTAAGAGTAATGTTATTTATGAGTAGGTATGAGGTGAGTAGGGCTGAGACCACTTTTATTGTGCGGTAAATTTTCATTTGTAGGCTATGAGATTTTAAGAGCAGTGATACATAAGTAATTAAGCAAATTAGTTAAGGAGAATTATTTGATCGAATAATATTGATTTTTTTAACATTTTTTTATAATACATGAGTATTTTTTTTTTTAATAGTACACAGCAATTTAACATTTTTTAATAGTACATTAATATATTTTTTTATTTTTTTGCTATTATTTTATTGACTTGATAATTAATGATATTTAGCCACAAAGTGATACTAGTTCTAAGAAGTTTTATTTACCCAAAAAAAAAAAAAAAAAAAAAAAGATAGTTAGTTTAATGCACTTTAGCTTTTTACGTGGTATTAATTAATTAATTTCTACTAAATTAAGTGACTGCAAAATCTCAAACAAATACTAAAAACATGTTGCGGTATAAATTAAATGAAGTGTAAAAGAGACTATTGAAAGAGGGGGCGAATGATTTTTTTCCTTTAGATACATTTTTGGTATTATTTTTCTTCGGATAGAATATTATTTTCCATTTGAGATTTATAAATCAACCTAATATATCAATTTAAACTCAATGGTTTTTTAAGTTGTGAAGTAGTTATCAAAGACAAATAATCCCCAAACTCATCCAAAAAAAAAAAAAAAAAAGAAAAAAATAATAATTGAAACTACCAACTAATAAATCCCCTTAGTACATGAATTTGAAGAACCAAAATCAAAGATTCCAACATAATTGCCATGAAAAAATAATAATAATAATGAAATTTTTTTTCCAAAGTTATGATAATGAAATAATGAAAATTTTCCTCTCAATACTTCTATGGGTACTTTTCTACTATCTTTGACCCATTTTAAAAGTCTAATTTAAAATTTGTGAGTCACAATTCTCGAAATAAACTTTTAATATTGGACATAGAGAGTATTAGCTACCAAAATACTAATTGGAGCGCGTATAAAGTAAAATAAACCAAAAAGAAAAAGTAATTGAAAGCCCAACCATAAAGAGGCAATAATGGAACTCTTACCTCTTCGGTGGAAAAGCTTCGACATGTCATTTTAAAGCTTTTTTCTTTTTGGTGAACTGTTTCAACTTTCAACACTTTAGTTTTGTCAGGTTAAAATAATAATAATAATTTAATAAAAAAAAAAAACCAAATATTTATATAACTGAATCATTTGAGGTCGACCACATTCACTTCGAAAGGAATGCAAATAATATTGATAGTGTTGATTTAAATATAAATGCAAATAGTGTATTTATCTACACTTCATTAAAAAATATCACTCACATTAATAATACATGTAAAGTAATTCATGTTGCATGTGTTGATTCGAAATCTCAGACTTAATAAATTTAAAATAAATTAAGGACTTTGGCTTGAAATTTAAATCAAATATTTTTTAGGTCCCTGCAAAAAATGACTCTGCCCAAAACTTAAATATTTTTTTGTGAAAAATGTCAAAAGAGTCATTTGGTCACTTGGTGGTAGACATCTAGATGTTTTCTAGTAGACATCTCTTACTTATTTTGGGCAAATCTCATGCTTGCTTAATCTTAAATCTATTACATCTTGAAAACTTTAGAGACTTTTTATATCATTCTCTATGATATAGCTAAGTTTTCATTACTTGCTACATAGAGATTTTTTATATCATTCTCTACGACAATAATACTTAGTTTTGCATTTTCTATTCCTCTTGTATTTTTATCATATTTACTTGTAAAATCGAAAAAACATAGCTTAGGTTGCGTTTACTAACGGAAAATGTTTTCTGTTTTCTATTGTCAGCCTCCAAAAAGGCAAAACAAAAACAAGAATCGTGTTTAATAATATGTTTTTATTTTTCTATAATAGAAAACGTTTTCCATTTTATGAAAAAAGGAGGAAACATAAAAAAGGTGTTTCTCATTCTTTTGACGTTGTTAAGCAAAAACTGTTCACTATTATTATTACATATATATGGTTTATTTTAAATAAAATGTATGTTATGCATGTTATATACTAATGCTACATATTAAATACAACTAAAATTATATTTTTAATATATAATTATATTAATACAAGTGTAAATTATTTTTTATTTAACAAAAATATATATTTAAAATATAATATATTATATAATAGTGTAAATTATTTTTTGGGACAAAAAAATATTTATGATTTAATATATTTATTATTTATTTTATACAATATTATTAAATTATTATACAACATATATAATATATTATTATATACCATATCTATATTATATTATAGATATGTTATTTAATATTTTTTATTTATTATAATATACTATATGTTAAATATATTATATAATAAATGTATAGATGATGCATATGCATGCACTTAGGTAAGAGTGTTTTTGTCCTAATACATCTTATTTTGTACTTATGTATTGAATATTATTAGAATTTGTGATTTTAAATTAGATATTATATTTTATTATATGTATTGGGTATTTTAAGGCTTTTTGATAGTAGCGAAAAAAATTAAAAAATATTATGTACATTTTTATATTTTATTGTCACTCGAGAAAACAAAATTATGTACATTTTTATTTTTTATTGTCACTTAAGAAACAAAATTATATTTCTAATGAATACGTTGTATTAAAATTAGGGGTGCAACTTGGGACGGGCTGGCCCAGCCCAAGATTTTTTGGATTGGACTGGGTTCACCTACAAATTGCGTTAGCTTTGGGTTGACACATTTCAACCTGGGCCTATTTTCGGGTTGGTCTCGGGTTAGAACATGGTCAACCCGAGCCCAACCCGAATAATTGTGAGAGGACACATTTTCCCTCTGCTGCCGCCGTCCTTTTGCCGTCGTCGTCCCTGCTTTAGCCGTTGCTCCACCGCGGTTGCCATCACTTCCATTTTTTTTTTCAAAGCCCAGAGAGGCATCGGTTTCTCTCTCAATCTTCTTGCCTATCTCATCAAATCTATCCCTGCCAAAGAATCAACACATATATATGGGGAAAATATATGTGTTGTAATTGTTATGATATAATAGCCTAAAATGGGTCTATTTTGAAGTAATTAGGGTTTTTAATATATATTACATACAATTTATGAATAAATTAATAAAACCATGTAAAAATTGTATTTCCATCTAACAAAATAAAAAGATTTGAGAAGCTGATTTTCTTTTCTGTAATTTTTTTTCTTGGAGGTTAATTATAACTTAAAACCATGAGAATTTGTCATATTACGTTTCTTATTTTGCGTTTAATTTTCTAAATATATATTACTGCAATTTCAATTATTTTGGATATATTCAATCTTATAACCACCATGGATTCAATAATCCTCTCTTTGAAAATTTTCAGGAAAAATAATAATAATAATAATAAATCAACCTTTGAAACCCGGGCTGACCCGTCCAAAATATTCAAACCAGGTTATGACCATAACTTATATTAGATACAATTCGGGCTGGCCCAACCCAACCCAACCCGATTTCGGGTTGAGGTTGAGGTTGAGGTTGAGGTTGGGTTGGGTTAGGACTGGGCTGGGTTGGGCCAGCCCAACTTGCAGTCCTGATTAAAATAGATATTAACTATTAAATAATATAATGAATTAAGGGTAAAGTGCAACCCCAACTATGTCTAAATTTGCAAATAACTCCTTTGAACTATGTTTTGTGCATAAAACCCCTTAAACTATCACATTTTGTAATACCCTTAATTTTAAAATGATGGTTTTGGTATTTTAATTAAGAATTTTATTACATTTTTATTGAATTATGTGCTTATTTGCTTAATTGGTTAATTGTGTATTTATTTAAATTAATTGTTTATTGTTGTTTATTTTAACTTAATTGTTTAATTGTTTATTTAAATTAATTCTTTGATTGATTGGTAATTTAATTGACATATTTTATTTAATAGCTTATATGATTTATGGGATAATTTCACTTACCTCCCTTGAGGTTAGGCCTAATTACAGGCAGTACCATTAACGTTTCAAATATTATACCAA